TTTTAATAATGGGACCCCCAATTCCAGGGAGACTTTAGGGGTCCCATCCCATCCCCAGTGTTGGGGGGAGGGGGGGTCTCTGTGGGTCTCATCCCCAATTTTGGGGAGCATTTTAGGGGTTTCTGGAGGTTCCATTCCCAATATTAAGGAAGATGTTTAGGGGACTCATTCCCAGTTTTTGGGGAGTCTCTGGGGGTCACATCCCAAATTTTGGAGGGGTGTCATTAAGAAGTTATCTGTAAATGAGCTCGCCCTAAAAAAGGCGGATGAAAGAACCAGGTGCGCAGTAATTCCGCGCCCTCGTTTGCCGTAATGAGGAGGCAAAGGCTGAGCCCGGGGTTATGTTGACACCAAAGCTGCCGAGGCCGGGCCAGGCTCATTAACATCTGAAATGGAACCACCCAAATTAATAATTTAATTTCACAGCAGCCCATAAACACTTGGGACAGAGCCTAAAGCCCGAATTAAAGCGTCCCTGCTGGAAGAACCCCGAGCCCCCCGGCACCGCCCCCGTGGGCTGGATTTTTTTTGGGGGGGAGAGGCGCCCCAGGTGTCCCCATAAGGCAAATTTGATGCCAAACGGGCTGCGGGCTCTGTGCCCAGCTTGGGCTGGGTGGGAAGCCAGCGGAAATCGGGGAAGCGTCGCTGTGGGATGGGAACCCCTCTCCCCTTTCCCAGGAGGACGGAGAGCCCGGGGGTCCCTGGGGTGATTCCCACCCGCGCATTCCCGAGCTGCTCCCGATCTTCCTCCAGCGGGGAGGAGCCGGGACAGGCCGTGGTGGCCTGACCTTCCCGGGGCGGGGTGACCTGCCCAGCCCCGCTGGCCTTGGGCCACTGCCCCCTTCGGCAGGGGCAAGAGGCAAAGAAACGAGGACAAACTCTGGAATGCAAATCCCAAACGCTCTGGGCTCCCACAGGGGGTCCCGGATGGGGCGGCGGTGCCCATTCATGTGGCAGTGACAGTGGCAGTGGGGACAGCTGGAGGGGACAGGACAGGACAGGAGGATTTGCCTCGGGCACACGGCTCTGGTGGAGGGGACGGCGATTGTGTCCCTGCACAGGGAATGTCCCCAGAGGCTGCCCCGAAGCCGTGGGCGGTCCCAGCGATCCCGCCGGGAGTTTGGGATGATTCAGCCGTTCCCAAAGCAAAGGGAGTCACTGACAGGACTCTTCCTGCAGGTGACAAACGCTCGTTCAGGGATCACCGATTGTGCTGCCTCCATCCCACCAGGGATGTAGCCAGGTGGGGTTCCCGCCCCGCGCCTCTCCCTGGATTTTGGGCTCCGTGGAAGGAAACAAGCCTGGGAAGGGAAATTAGGAGGAAGAGGAATCCTCGATGGCTGGGTGACAGCTTGGGGACGACGAAGATCAAAGCACTGGCAGCGTGAGACATCTTGGAAAGGGGATTTTTTGTAGTTATCGTTCAAAATGAGGAGCTTAAACCCATTCACAGTTCCGGACACAGAGAGTGTCCCCAGAGGTGTCTCCGGAGTGCCTGGATGTGACAGCGTGATGGTGGGCAGCCCAGAGGACAGCAGCTCCCACTCTGCCACCCCAGAGCTCGGGTTTGTCCCCGTGTGCAGTGACAAACTGCTCTGGGACTGGTTTTGGGAGCCCCTGGAGACAGCAGGAGCTGGGGGGGATGTGTTGCCTCAGCGGTGCTTTCTTCATCTCCCCCGAGTCTTGGGCAAGGCTGCTGATTCTGCCGGGGTTTCCTCACTTTGGGAATCTCTCTGGCTCCGCTTGGTCTCCCAGGAAGTGGCACAAGAGATGTGCTTTCACCTCCAGGGCAGCTCAGAGCTCGATTCCTCACCTTCCCGGTGCTCCCGGTCTGACCTGCCACCATGCCCTGCCTGCCTCTGCTCTGTTTTTTTGCCAAAGTTGGTTGATGCCCCGCGGACAGGGGCTGGATCCCACCGATCCCATTCCAAGATCTGGAGCAGCACCCACACGGCCCAAGGCGGGGGCAGAAGGTCCCTGTCCCTCCTGGTCCCCAGGGACTGACCCCATTCCAAGGCCTTGGTCCTGAAAAGCAGAATTCCTGGTGCAAAGCACAGCTCCTGGAACTCACCCTGTGCTGAGCAGGGATAGAGCTGAGATCCCGGCCCTGTGCTGGGTGTAGGGGAGGGTTTTCAAGAGTTTCCAGAAGAAATCCCAGAGTTGCTGTAAGAGAGGGGCTCCAGAGCTTCCAAAGAGAGCAGATCCTCTGCTGGGCATCCTCAGGGTGTCCTTGGCACTGGGTGGCTCTTCCAGGGAGCAGCCACTGATCCCTCTGGTGGGATCCATCCCCATCAGAGCTGGAGAATCCTCTGATCCCTCGTGGGTTTTCCTAATGGATGTTTTATGTGTCCCCACCAAGGTGGGAACACAAACCAGCCCAGGGCTGTCACCTCTCCCAGTGTGGGGGAGTCAAATGAGGGGGGGTCAGCAGAGGTGGCACCTCCTACTTAGGGAAGGTGACCCGGGCAGTGTCCTGGGGACAGCACAGCCACAGCTGCCTTTGTCCCCATCCCACCTGCCTCGACATTGGCACTTTGCTGTGCCCAGGCTCTGCTGTCCTGGCCAGTTCCTGTCTTGCCACTCAGGCCCCTCTGGCCATGGACCCTCCTGCTCGTCCTCCTGCTCCTCCAAAGGGCCAGGAGTGCTCCTGCCCTGGGACTGTCCCCACCCTGACCTGCAGCCCTAATTCTGTGACTCTGAGGCTTTGGAGAGGTTTAGGAGTTGGGCTGATGGGATGTTTTGGGGGAACTGAAAAGGGACAGGGGACAGGGGACAGGCTGGAGCCAGGAACAGCCCAGAGCTGAGCCTGGTCTGAGCCCTGCCCTGTCCTGCCCTGCTGCACAACACAATTGTGCTTGCTTTGGCTCAAGAAAACTTCCCAAATTCCTTCTCCTTCTCCTTCTCCTTCTCCTTCTCCTTCTCCTTCTCCTTCTCCTTCTCCTTCTCCTTCTCCTTCTCCTTCTCCTTCTCCTTCTCCTTNCTTCTCCTTCTCCTTCTCCTTCTCCTTCTCCTTCTCCTTCTCCTTCTCCTTCTCCTTCTCCTTCTCCTTCTCCTTCTCTTCTCCCCTCTCTCAATAATGACCCCTGCAGAGGGGCTCAGGCTGCCATGGGGGACTGAGGACATTCCGAGCAGGTCCCTCTCACCCTTCATGTCCCACCCCTGGCACGAGGCTGCCTTAGACTCCTCACCCTCACCCTGGTGCTTGAATCCCTCCTAAGAGAAGATAAAATCGGGATCAGCCCAGCCAGGCTCTGCCAAAACAGGCAGGAAGCAGCACAGTAATTAAATGGGCAAATAATGGGAATTTAGAATTATAACAAAAGGCAGAAAAGCAATCCAGAGGGGGTCGGAAAAATTAGGAACACAGAGAAAAATCCAATCAAGCAGAAAATAGCCCGGACTGGAGCCAAGGGCTGGGGGCTGAGGCAGCCAGGCTCAGAGCCCGGGGGAGGATTTGGGGGCGTCTCTGGTGCCTTTCTGGAGCAGAACGAGAATTTTGGGAGAGATCTGTTCCCGAGAGGAGCTGGCCGCGGGCTGAAACATTGGGAAAAGTTCCCAGCTCTGCACTGGGGCACAGCAGATCTGGGATGTGATATCCATGAAAATTCCCAGAGGAACGGCCTGGAAGTGTGGCTGGGGGGGCGGGGGGAGGTGCCTGAGGCTGGGATGGGTTGGGGTCTCTGGGGGCACAGAGTGGATTTTGCTGGAATTCAATGTTCTCTGCAGACTCCCCATTCCCAGGATTTCCTGGGATGAGCAGGGACACACTGAGCTCTCTGCCAGGGGGAAAGCAGGAGCTGTTTGTGCTCTGCTGGGCACAAATCCCCTTGGGAATTTCCTGGGAAGGAATCGTGGCAGGGGTTTCTGGGGCTCCCATCCCAAACACTGAAGAGATTTTGGCGGGATTCTGTGGTTCTCACCCTCAGTTTTGGGACTTTTGGGGGTCTCTAGGGTTTCAACACAAGTTTTAAGGAAGACGTTTGGTTCCCATCCCAGTTTTGGGGAGATTTTGAGGGTGGTTCTTTCTGTGGCTCCTTAACCCAAACTTGGGGGGGGGGGCGATTTCTGAGGGTCTCATCCCAAATTTTTGGGGGGCTCCAGCAGCAGCCTGGAGCCAGGCTCTGCTGCCAGCACTCCCTGCTCATTCCTAGGTTTCCATGGGGAATGCAGGGGTTGTCACTGCATCCATGGGGTGCGGGGGCTGGGACACAGCCCCGTGGGACCTGGCACGGTGACAAGGACATCCCGGGGACCCCAGGTGGCACCGAGGCTGGTGACATCCTGGGGACAATCCCTCACGTGACACGGAGGCTGTGACAACCTGGGGAGCAGCCCTGGGGTGGCACTGAGGAACCATCCCCAGTTTTGGGGAGACTTTTGAGGGTCCCAACCAATTTTTTGGGAGGATCTCTAGGGGCTCCATCCCCCAAAATGGGGAGATTTTAGGGGTCTCATCCCCAATTTTGGGGAGACTTTTGGGCGTTTCTAGGAGTCCCATCCTCCAGTACTAGGGGAGATGTTTAAGAATCCTATTCCAAATTTTACAAGGAACTCTGGGGGTCCCATCCCCAGTTCTGGGAAGATTTTGAGGAGGTTTCTGTGGTTCCCAACCCCAATTCTAGTTGAAAATTTTGTAGGTCTCTGGGGTTGCCATACAAATTTTAGGGAGGACTCTGGGAGTCCCATCCTCAGTTTTGGGGAGACTTCATTAATCCAATGTCCCTCCCGTTCCCTAATGAGGCTCAGATCCCATGAACTGCTCCTTTCACCCCCCTCCCCACGAGACACAGGGTCGGGGACACGGCCCAGCCCCATGGGGACACACGAACACCCCAGCCCCGTTCCCCAGGAGCTTTCCAGGGGATTTCCTGCCGGGAAAACCAGCCCGGGGACATTCCTGGAGCGGCCGAGCCTCTCCCTCAGGGCAGGGTTTGTTTCCCCGGGAGCCCTGGAGACGATCCCGGCTCCTGCGGCAGCTCCGCTCCCCTCGCAGCCGAGTCATGGAGGGGGGAGCGGCCGGGGACCCCCGCGGGCTCTGGGGGGACCCCCCAGCAGGGACCGTCCTTGTCCCACGCAGGGTGAGCCCCGGAGCGCCCCGGCATGGCGGGGATAGGGGTGGAGATGGGATGGGAGGAGAGGGGGGTTGGGCTCGGGGGTTTGGGTGGCACCGGGGGTTTTGCAAACTCCTCCCGGCGCCCTGCAGACCCCAAAGGCCATCCCTGCACAGGGACCTGTCCCCCGAGCTGGGAACTCTCCAGGGCTGGAAGTCACCCAGGATGGGAGGGCAAAAACCAGGGGAGAGCGTCCAATCTCTTCTCCAGGGCTCCCGTCCTGCTCCCCCTGGGCCAGCGGCTCCTCCTGCCACCAGCCGTGTCCCCTCTGTCCCCTCTGTCCCCTCTGTCCCCTCTGCCCCCTCCTGTCCCGCTGCCAGGACGCTGAGTTAACCCAGCAATTCGCAATCCCGGCCTTTTCCTTCCCCTCCTGCCTTGCAGCTCCGCGCCGTGGGCTCGCTGCCCGGAGCCGTCCCGGTGTCCCGGCCGCCGGTGCTGATCCTGCAGCAGCTCCCCGGGCCCGGGGCCGCCCCCGCGGCAGCGCCGCCCGTGCGGGGAGGTGAGTGCGGGCAGAGCTGTGAGAGGCAGCGCCGAACCCGCCTTGACTTCAGCCGCTCCTTCTTCCCCCGCAGGGGGCCTGAGCCACACCCAGGAATGTCCATCCCATCCTTGCATGGATGTTCGGCCCCGCGGGATGCGATTTTTGGGGATTTAACCAAGTTTGGGCTCCAAGATGCTCCCAGGGAGCAGTTTGGGGCTGGGTTGATTTTTTCTTTTTTTTTCTTTTTTTTTAAATTGACCAGTTTTTGTTCTCCAAAACCCCATTTCCTGCGGGCATTCCTAGGGAAAGCCAGGATGCCTTGGGCTCCTTGGAATTGCGAGGTGGGATTGAGTGGGATTGGAACCTTGGGCTGTGCCACTGTCCAGAGGGGCTTCACCCAACCTTGTGCCCCCAGGCTGCAGCAATCCGGGCTGGCAGCAGAGCCAGGGGGCTGTGAGCACCGGGGACAGCAGGGACAAGAGGCTGTGGTCGCTGGGGACAGACCACGGGCAAAGTCACCTTGTGCTGTTGGAAGGGGTAAGGTGGAGAAATCCAGAGAGGAAAAAGGATGCTGAAAATCAGTGTGGAAAGAAAAGAGACCCAGCCTGGGCCCCTGGTGGGATCCATTCAGGGCTTCCACTCTGTGTCCCAGCCCTGGTTCAATTCCTGGAGTGCTCCCTGCTCCTGGATCCGGCTCAGCAGAGCCCCAGGATGTGCTGGGATGCTCCTGGCTGGAGGGACAGCCACCCCCTTGTGTCCTGGGAGCCCAGCCTGGCAGCTCTGGAGCCTTTGGGGATCTTTGGAGCACATGGGGGTGGTCCAAACTCTTTCTTACCCCAGATCATGGAATCAGGGTATCCCAGAATGGTTTGGACTGGAAGGGACATTAAGGATTGTCCAGCGCCACCCCTGCCATGGCAGGGACACCTCCCACTGTCCCAGCCCATCCAGCCTGGCCTGGGACACTTCCAGGGATCCAGGGGCAGCCACAGCTGCTCTGGGTGGATGAAGCCAGCAGGATCTCAGGGGAATCCAGCAGGTTCATGGGAAGTTTCCATGGGAATTTCACACCTGCAGAAAATAGGGATGTTTTGGGGGATGCAGAGCCAGCTTTGGGGCTTCCTCTGTACGGATTAGCCTCAGCAGCCACCTCCAGTGTGGCAATCCAGCCAAGGGAACAGGAACACTGCCCTGGGCCCAGCTCCTTGTGTGGAGCCTGGCAGGGGCTGAGGGGGCACTGAGCATCCCCACTGAGCTCCTCACCTGGATCCAGCTCCCAGGAGGGGGGATTGGGATCCTGGGATCACCCCCATGGTGCAGCCCCAGCTCCTGCTCCTTGGTGGGGCTCAGAGCCGTGTGCACAGAGCAGAGCTGACCCTGCCGTGCCTCTGGGACACCCCAAGGACGCCGCCTCTGCCAGCTGCTGCCAGGACAGGTGCTGCCCAAGCCTCTGAGAACTTCCAGGGTTGGAGAAATTCTCCCCAGAATGGGTGAAAAGTCTGGTGCCTCCAGCCTCAGTAATCACCCCTTGTGAGCCAGCCCAGATGCTTGGTCACATTTGCAGGGGGAAAAAGGCTCAAATATGGCAATTTTCAAGTTTTATCCAAGCAAAATAATTTTTAAATACCACATAGGGCTTCCAAAGCGGGGTGGGGGAAGTCTGGCTTTGCTCCCACTGCTTGGGAACAGGGAGGAGCCTTGGGGCCGCCCCATCCCAGGCACTCATCCCAGGCTGAGCTCCTCCTGCCCTCCATCTGCTCCCTTTCTGACGCAGAATCTCCAATTCTCTGGCAGATTTGATGGAGTTGATGCTGATTCAAACCTCCCAAATGCACCAGCTGCTGATGCACGGCCTGGCCATGGCAGCTCTGATGCCCCTTGGTGTGGGGCCAGCCCCAGCCCAGGCCCAGGTGAGGCTCAGGGGGGCTGGGTGGGCAGAGGGACCTTCCCAGGGCTGTTCAGGAGAGCAGGATCCCCACATCCTGCTTTGACACCCTCTGGGTGCAGCACCTGGGTGGTCCCAGCCCAGCTCAGAGCAGCCCTTTGGGGTTTTGCTGCTCTCTGTGGGGGTTTGAATCCAGCTCTGAGAGCTCAGACCGTATCCAGGCCCTTGGGCAGAGGTTTAGCCCAGCTGGGAAGAGCCAAGACAGTGGAAGCACAGCCCAGTCGGGCAGGAAGGCTCTGCAGGGGCTGCCATTTAAAAACCCATCTCGAACCAAAACCATATGAAACATTTCATCTCCTTGTGGGGAACAATACTGCTTTCCGGGCAGGGCTGGGCTGTGGCAGCTGCTGAGCTCGCTGCCAGCTGGCACCTCCTGGCACTCACCCCCTGCTCTCCCAGTGCCACCAGCGCAGCGCTGGCCAGGACTGGACCCTGCCTGCTCCAGCGGGTCTCAGATAGATCAAAGGGGCTCTTCCCACGGAGTTTGGTCCCATCTGTGGGACTGCCACCTCCCGTGTCCCCAGCAGCTGCGTTCCCACGCTGCTGCCCCAGGGATGTGTGTGGGACCGAGCCCACCCAGCGGGAGCAGCCGGGTGCGATCCCCGGGAAGAGGCGCTTCGGGAGCGCTGGAGCCCAGCCCTGTCCCTGTCCTTATCCCTGTCCCTGTCCTTATCCCTGCGCCTATCCCTGTCCCTGCCCCTATCTCTGTCCCTATCTCGTTCCTGCCCCTATCCCTGCCCCTGTCCCTATCCCTATCTTCGTCCCTGTCCCTATCACTGTCCCTACCCGTCCCTGTCCCTGCCCGCTGTCGGGGCCTTCGCAGGGCGAGGAGGAAGAGGAGGCCGTGGTTTTCCACCATCACTACGTTCCCTGGCCCGCCCCCGGCCCGGTCCCCGTGCGGTTCCTGCGCTCCTCGCCTGGGGACGAGCGGTGAGTGCCGGGGCTCGGTGCCACCTCGGTGTGACAGCTCCTCGTGTGACAGCTCCTGCAGCCGCAGCCGGGCTCGAGGGACACCTGCAATCCATCCCTCACCTGTCCCCGCTTCTCTCCGCAGAGCTGTGCCCCCCCCGCCGCCCCCCAGTGCCACCGGGACCGTGGGACCCGGCGTGTCCCCGGCCGCTGGTAAGGACACCTGGGAGACCCTGTCCCCATGGCCCCGACGGGGACAGCTTTCCCTCGAGCTTCTATCATCGCAGGCTGAGCTCCCTGCTCCCTGTGTCCATGCGGGGCTCAATCCCTGTCACCTCCCCTGTCTCCGCAGAGTTCTACAGCGCGGAGGAGCGGGGGCTGTGAGCTCTGCCCCCCGAAGATCCTGAAGGTCCAGCATAGATACTCCACGGTTCCCACCCTCGTTTTGGGGTGGTTTCCTCGCTGTGTCCCCCCCAGGGCAGGGTGTCACAGCCCCAGTGACACCCTGAGCCCAGCTGGGCACCGCGCCCCCGCCGGAGTGGTACAGGCTGTGCTGTGTCCCTTGGTGGGGACAGGGGGATGTCCCCAGCCCACGTGGTCCCAGCCTTCATTAGTACCTCCAGCTCTCAATGCAGCATTGCCTGTAATTAATTTGCTTTGTTAAGAGAACGCCTTGCTGTCTCTAATTAAGCACATGTAATTACATGGGCTAATGGCTCCGTGCCTGAGTGCAGGGGCTCCCTCGGGGGTGGGGGTCTATCAGTGCCTGGGGGGGCTGGGGGGGTGTGTCAGTGCTTGGGGGTGCTGAGAGGAGTCCTGGGGGCTCTGTCAGAGCCTGTGGGGTGGGGGGTGGTGCTGGGGCTGGTGCTGGAAGCTCCCGAGTGGGATCTCCTGGCTGAGCACAGGCAGAGCTGGATCTGGGAGGGGATGTGGCTGGGAGACCAGCCTGAAAGAGAGAAATCACGGATTTTCCCAGGATTCAGTGACCCCTCTGCTCCCCAGGAAGCAGGAGAAAGTGGGGAGTGAAGGCTTTTGGGTGCTGAGAGCTGTCCCCTGCCCGTGCCACCTCCCCAGCCCCACGGAGGGGTGCCAGCCCTGCTGTGCCCTAGGGGGGGTTCCAGGCTTTTCCCTGGAGCAGAGCTTCTGGCAGGAGACCTCAGGGCTGGCGGTCTGGAGCTCTGAGGATGCAGAAAGGCACCTTAGACCCCCTCCTTGGACTGCCTTGAACTTCTACTTCAGTGGAAGGCAAGATTTACCTTCCCTGTGCTCTGGAATGGGCAGATCTTCCCCAGCATGGCTCCTGGAGAAGCTCACAAATGTGGAGCAGGAGGATCAGTTGCATTCCCAATGGGAAGGTCCAGCTCCTCCAGCTGGGAGGGACTGAAGGAGGCATCCAAAAGCAAAGCTAGGTTTGATGGGAGACCAGGCTGGAGCCCAAAGATTCCCACATGGACACAGAATGGGAAGGAGGAGGTGAGGAGTCACCTGGAGTGGGCTGGACAGGAAGGGTGGGCTCGAGATGTGACCCAATCTTTGCTTTAATATGAGAATAATGAGAGGAATGGGAGGGTGAAGCAATGGGCATTGCAACACCCTTGGTGGACGTAAGGCTGGGTTCTGGTCAAACTGGGGCACCCTCCAGCATGGCCAGAGCCTGGGGACATCTCTGTCACCTCCAGGGGACAGGGGAAGGTGTGGGTGGAAGAGCAGAACAGCCCTGGGCACAGCAGGGACAGCGATGTTGGGCTGGGGGCAGGTCCTGCCAGGTGAGGGACAGAAGGGCTGGGATGGTCCCAGTGGATGTGGCACCTTCCCAGGTGGGGACTGGGGGGACTGGGAGACCCCCAGAGCCCCTGCTGGGGTTGTTACGGGGAGGCACGAGGAGATCTCACTGCTCCCAGCTCCTGACCCGGGGTCAGGTCTGACCCGATGGCTCTGGGCAGCAGCACAGGGATGTCCCTCCTTTCCCCATCCCTGGAGGTGTCCCAGGCCAGGCTGGATGGGGCTTGGAGCCACCTGGGATGGTGGGAGCTGTCCCTGCCCATGGCAGGGGGTAGCACTGGATGGGCTCTGAGGTCCTTCCCCCCACAAACCATCCTGGAATTCTGTGACTCTGATTTGGGCCGTGGACCAGCAGGACTGGGAGATGCTGCTGGGGGCTGACACTGGCCCAGTGTCCCTGCTGTGACAAGGACTTGGTTCCAGGAGTTTCCAGGGGACTGGCCTGGATCTTGCATGCCCGGTGCAAGGCACCAGAGCAAGAGGAGATGTTAATTACAGCCTGTGCTAATTGCACTCATGAAAACACCTCACGCAACACAGCCCCTGGCTGCCAACTGGGCCAAGGGCTGGCACCTGCTGCAGCCTGGGCTGGCAGCGGAGGGTGACAGACCTCAGCCCCCAGGCACTGTGGGGACCCTGGGGACAGATTCTGAGCCTAGGGAAGGGCAGAGGGTCTCCTGCTGCCCAAATTGAGCAGGGATGGGGAGCACTGGTGCCACATTCCTGCTGTCATTCCAGGTGGGAGATCTCTTCCAATAATCTGATGCTCTGCAGGGTGAGGTTTGGGTCCCAGCAGGTGACTGTGACCAGCCTGGCTGGGGTGATGGCCATGGACCAGGAGCAGCTCCTGCTGTCCCCACCAGCTGAGACTCCCTTCCCCAGGGCTGGCTTCCCCATGTCCCAGGAGAGATTCCTGGGACAGCGACACCTCTGTGAGCAGCAGATCTGACCTTATCAATCTGGAGTCACTGCAATGGCTTTAATAGCCCAGGAGGGCCCTGTCAGGGGTGACATCTTGTGTGACTCAGGGTCCCCGTGTGACTCACGGCCACTCTCCACCCTTGGGTGGGTGTTCTGCTTCCACCTGAGCCACTCCATCCCCAGGGATGAGATCCACACCGAGCCTTCCCCTGGGCCAGCCTCAGCCGCCCACGCAGGATCTCCTGATTCACCTGCCCTGCTCCTGGCAGCCCTGGCCACTCTCCCGTATCTGTCCTGGCCGTGGGCTGAGTTTGGGGTGGCACCATGGACTCTGTGCTGCTGCTCCATGGGCTGCTGCTCCTGCCCCTGGCAGCGCTGCTGCTCTACAGGTGCAGCCCCCCCTTCCAGTACCTCTGCAAGGTGGCTTTTTTCAACTGCTGGATCGTGGCCTTGGCCACCCTGCTGTCTCCCTTCGCTGCCTTCCGGGGCCGCTCCGTGGAGAACATGAGGTGAGTGTGGGCTGGGCATGGGGAGAGCCGGCTGGGGCTGGGTTCGGGTGGAGGAAATCCTGTGGTTTGTGGCCACAGGCTCTGTCCTGCCCTGGATGGACACACAGCTGGGTCACAGCTGGTGGCAGAGCCCTGGGGCCACGGCGAGGGCTGTGGTCACATTCGTGGGACAGTGAAGTGCACCTTGTGGTGTGAGATGTGCTGGCTGTGCCCAGGTAGCCTCAGGCCGTACTGGAATTGGGATTTGTGGTCCCTGAGGGATGAAATAACATAAAAGAGATCATTCCTGGTCCTAGCAATGTTGGGGTCCTCACTTGGGTGGGTGAAAGGGGTCTTAAAGGTACCATCAGGGCAAGGGGCAAATACACACCTAGTGCTGTGTCCCTGGCTCTGGGTTTGCCCTGGGAGACCTGCGAACAGCTCTTTGGCAGAGGGATTGAGGGTGGAGAGGCCCTGGCACAGATTATTCCATGGCTGCCCCATCCCTGGAAGTGTCCCAGGCCAGGCTGGATGGGGCTTGGAGCAACCTGGGACACTGGGAGGTGTCCCTGCCCATGGCAGGGGGTGGGACTGGGTGGGTTTAAGGTCCCTTCCAACCCAAACTATTCCATGTTCTTACGGTTTGGGGATGTCTTGGTGCCATCAGCTGCCAGGGGCACAGCCCTGTCCCTGTCACAGCCATGTCCTGATCACAGTCATGTCCCGCCCGACTCGCGCTCCCAAGGGTGGAAGCAGAAAGATAACACCACTGAGATAACATCGCTGTGCAACACCGGAGGAAGGTCTGGGTGCTCTCAGGATGGTGCAATCCCATTGCTGGATTCCTGGGCAGGATGAGCACACAGGAGGGATGCAATTATGTCACAGGGGAAATAGCCCAGCTTGAGAAATTTACTGAGGATTTGTGTGGATGGATCCCGGCCCGCGGCGGGAGCGTGGTCAGGGGTTCGGTGTTCCTAGTCGGGGGTTCGGTGTTATCAGTCAGAGGTTCGGTTCCCAGCGGCGGTGCCGCCTTCCCCAGGCCCATCCCGGCTGGAATTCTGGGCACACGCCGCATCCAGGGCTGCTCCAAAGCCGACCCTTGCTCCGGCTTAGCGGGACTGGTGGCGGGAGGCGCTGACTCAGCCGCGTTATCAGCGCTGCCCGATCTTGTCCCACCGACAGCTCCGTGCCCGCAGCACGCCCAGCCCAGCTCCCTCTGCTCCGAATCCCAAAGCCTGCGGCTCGGAGCGCTTCCCTGTCATTAGTCCTGGCTTTGGGGCGCTGTTTCTCCTCGGATCCTCAGGGATCTCCGAGCCTGCGGCTCCCGAGGGATGGGGACGATACCGCGGACCCTGTGCCTCCTTCTCCCTTCTCACCCCTGCCAGCTGCTGGGCCCTTCCCTGCCCCCGCCCTGTTCCCTGGGGGCAGTGACAGATGTGGAGACCCTGGCACAGACCCTCTGTGGGTTGGACAGTGCCCTGTTCCAACACCTACGTGTGCCAGGATTTATCTCCATGGCTGCTGGAATCCCTGGTGCTCCTTCCCCCCTCTATTCCTCTCATTATTCTCATACTGAGCGTCTTCCGTCGTTGCCATCCCGATATTCCACTTGCTGTGCAGCCCTCCCGGGATGTGACACCACTTTTCCGCTCAGATCCATCCCTTCCAGACACTGCAGCTCCGGTGGAGCGATTTGTGACTCCCCTAAGGATTGTTGTATCTGGGCTGATTTTCCCTTCCCCCTGCGGCACAAAGCTGTGCAGGGGCAGTCCCTGGGGTCACCAACATCCCTGGGGATCTGCCTGTCTCTCTGCCATCCATCCCCTATGCTCATCCATCCCCAGCTCAGCTGCTCTCGGCTGTGATCCGCCTCTGGCTTTGGGAGTCTGGGATTTGGATTTCTGTCCACACACAGACCCAGGTGAGCCCCTGGGTAGGCTCCCCCGTGCAGAGACAGTTTGTCCTCGTTGGGATGTGAAGGTCCCATCCCCATCGCCACCACGCCCTCGCCTTTCTCTTTTCGCTTTCCCATCATCTCTGGACATCAAAAATCCTGTTTTTTCACTCTCACCACCTCGTGCTGGTCACTCTCCCTCCCCAGCAGCTCCCTCTGCTCTGAGCCAGGAGCTGAGCCCAGCTTAGGTGGGAACCACCTGAGTTCTGAGCCTCACAGGCTGCAAACGTGCGAGAAATCCAAGCATCCCTGAGCAGAGCAGCCGCAGCCTGGCCCAGCCGGTGCAGACCCGCTCCCCACTCGTGTCCCTCCGCCTTATCTCGTCCCTTATCTCGTCCCTTATCTATCCCCACCAGGCTCCTGCGCGCCGCGCTCCTGCCCCTCAAGCGCTTCTACGGCATCAGGATGCGGGTGCGGGGCTCGGAGCAGCTGCAGCTGCAGGGACCCTTCGTGATCGTCTGCAACCACCAGGCTTCCCTCGACCTCATGGGTGCGTGCGGGGCAGGGCAGGAGGGATCCTCGGCACCTTTGGGGGCTCCAGGGGGCACCAGCATCGCTTTGGGGAGTCAGCACCGGGATTAGGGCAGGGATGTGTGGTGGGAATGGACCAGGAGAGCTTTTGGGACAAGGCTCCCTGTGCTGCAGGGAGAGGAAGGACAACGGGAGGTGATGCCGCAGGACGGTCTGGGACTGGGGACAGCTTAAAGTCCTTTAAGTCAAAACTAAAAAAAACCCCTGGTCCTATGCTAGGGTATAAATGATTAATTAGTCTATGCACTGATGTAATTTGGCCTCTCCAGAGAGTTCCTCTCTGCAGTTATCACCTCTCAAAGCTGGCTGAGCTGCAAAATTTATTCCTGATAACCAGCTGGTTTGTCCAGCCGGGGGGCGGGGGGGGGGGGTGTGAATTTTTCTGCTGCCAATCCCATGGAGTTGGGAAGGTGTTAATGGACATTATCCGTGCCCCAGGAATGGTGGAGGTCATTCCTGAGCGCTGTGTGCCCATTGCCAAGCGGGAGCTGCTGTACCTGGGCACGGTGGGCTGGGCCTGTTGGCTCAGTGGCACCATCTTCATCGACCGCCACCGCAGGGACGCGGCCATCGAGGTCATCTCCCACACTGCCAGCACCATGTGCAGAGAGAACGTGAGCAGAACTGGGTTTGGGGGGGAAAACACCCCTGGTGTGGGGGCATGTGGGCAGGACTGACCTGGCTGAGGTCCGGGGTCACCTCTGTCCCTGTCCCCTGCAGCTCCGTGTGTGGGTTTTCCCGGAAGGCACCAGGAACCAGGGCAAATCCATGCTGCCCTTCAAGCGTGGGGCTTTCCACCTGGCTGTGCAGGCCCAGGTAAGGGCACTCTTATGGTCAAAGGTTGGACTCTGTGGTCTTGGAGGCCTTTTCCAAAATTATTCCTTCCCGTTTGGCTCACCCTGGATGGAGCAGGGTGGATGTGAACCCTGGGGCAGAAGGATAGGGGGGTTTAGATCCCCAGGGATGGGGGGGTTTAGATCCCCAGGGATGGGGGGGGGGTTTGATCCCCAGGGATGGGGGGGTTTGATCCCCAGGGATGGACATGGTGCTGGGCAGCAGCAGAGAGGGACAGGCAGGAGCAGGAGTCCCACCTGGGGAGGGCTCTGTCTGGGGGACCCTCTGACCCTCTGTGTCCTGCAGGTTCCCATTGTCCCCGTCGTGATCTCCCCGTACTGGGACTTCTTCAGCTCCAAGGAGAAGAGATTCACCTCCGGTAAGGGATGGACAGGCATTCCCATGGCAGAGGGCAGGTCTGGTTCTGGGGTTGAGGCACACAGGATGTGGGATGCTGAGGGGTGGGGATGCAGCTGGGGTGGAAGATGCTTAGGGGAATACCCAGTTCCTGCTGGGATCCTCTGATACATCTCTGGCTTTTCCCCTCTCTCCCAGGGACCTGCACGATCCGAGTCCTCCCTAGAGTGGAAACGCGGGGCCTGAGCCCAAAGGATGTCCCTGAGCTGACCGAGAGTGTCCGGCAGGCCATGGCTGAGGCTCTGGCCGAAATGTCCAGGAGTGACCACGGGGACCAGGACATGCAGCAGCCTCTGCTGGGGCCGGGGAAGGACAGGGGCAGCCCCCAGGGCCAGGGGGACACAGCCGGGAACAGCAAATAGGCAGAGGGAGCGAGTCCCTTGGGAGGTGTCCCTTGTCCCCTGAGGAGGTGTCCTGCAGCCCCGCCACCACCCCGGCAGGACAGTGCCCTGAGGGGAGCAGTGCAGGATGGGGACCAGGCAGCACTCCCAAAACAGAGCAAGGTGCCCCCCAAAACAGAGCAAGGTGCCTCATAAAACCCCTCATTGTGACTGTGCATCCCTGTGCCAGACCCGGAGCTGTCCCCTGGAGCTGTGGCTGTGCCCATGGAGCTGTGGCTGTCCCCTGAAGCTGTGGCTGTCCCCTGGAGCTAAGCTGTGCCCCAGGATGGCTCCTGCCTGCTCACTGGGCAGGGCAGGGACGCTCCAGGCAGGGTTGGAGGTTCCCAGCCCTGATTTCCCTGATTGTTGGGTTCCCCTGTGGATTCTCCTTCCAGAAGCTCCTACAAGCTGAAAATGCTGTTTGGGTGCAGCCAGCTCTGGGGAGGGGCCCAGAACGTGTGGCCTGGGGGGGACTCAAGGCCCAGGGGAGGTTGCTGGGGGGGAACAGCATCCTTGGTGCTGAGCTGTGAGCCCAAGGGTGGGACATTAAAGAGTCTGGAGCTGGTGCTGTGTCCTGGCTGTGCTGAGGGGGCTGAGGAGGGGGCGATCCATCCCTGCACATGGAGAGTCCCCACACCTTCTCCAGGGATGGTGTGAGCAGCACATGGCCGCGTGAGGGTTACACTGGCCTGGGTCTGTCCCAGAGGTAGAGCTCTCCCTCCTTCATTAAATGCACAAGAAGAGCACCCACTGAAGCCTCAAATTCCCAGCAATACCTGGATGATGCCCACCTGGACACAGTCCTACCTGGAGGTGCCTCTGGGCTCATCTGACAGATGGATGGATCCCTGCAGCCAGGCAGGGATTTGGGATCTCCTGGCTCCTTCCCAGCTGAGCAGTTCCTGTGCCAGCACCCCGGGGTGGCACCAGGGCAGGGATGGGGCAGGGTGTGGCTGTCCCCTTGTGGGGAGCAGGGTGGACAAGGCTTCCCCTCCCATTCTGGGATAAAATGTGCAAACCACGGGCACAGAGCTCCGGTTTGGATGCCAGTTTGACATCATTCCTGCTCTCAGGAGCAGCTGGATTATGGAGGAAATCCTTCAAATCTGTTGCAATCGTTTGACACTAAACAGCAAAGAGACTTCCCATGAAGAATAACCCATGGGATCCGGAGCTGTCACATCGACATGGCCAAGGGCACAGGAAGGTCCCATGTCCCAGAAAACCCCTTTAATCCTTTCCTGTTTCCCAGGATTCCCAACATGTGGCATAGTCTGTCAGCTCTGAGCTGGCCTAGGGGTCCCACCACACTCCCATGACCTTGGGGGTGGTTTGGCTGCCCAAAGGCTGGGTTTGGGTGTGAAGCATCAATAGAATCATGGAATGGTTTGGGTGGGAAGGACCTTAAAGCCCATCCAGTTCTGTCATGGGCAGGGACACCTTTCACTATCCCAGGTTGCTCCAAGCCCCATCCATCCCGGCTGTGGACATTTCCAGGGATGCAGGGGCAGCCACTGCTGCTCTGGACAAAATCTTGTCCTGCCTGGAGGGCCAGGGCCCAGCCAGAGCCCTCTCTGGATTTTCCATTGTCAGTGGGAGGTGAAAGCTTGACTAGAGTAAAATACTTTGGAAATACCTCTGGGAACAACTTGCTTTTTCTGGTCCTCCAAGGCCTGCCCTGCCTAGCTGCTTCATTTGCCCAGCCCTGGCACAGCTGCCCAGGGCAGTGGTGGAGTCCCCATTCCAGGAAGGATTTCACATCTGTGTGGATCTGGCATGTGGGGACAGGGGTCAGCGGTGGCCTTGGCAGTGCTGGGTGAGCCATGAGCTCCTCATCTCATCCAACCAAGCTGGGATGTCTGGCAGGGCACTGACCCCCACCCACATCCTGGCAGGACAGGATGGACTCAGGCCCGTGCTCCTGCCTCGTGTCCTTAGCAGTGGCAGGTCCAGCCCCCTCCAGCCACCCACAGCCTGTGGGGCTGCTCCAAAGGGCAGGGAGGTGAGCACGGAGCCGTGTCCAGCAAAACCTGAGCTGGGCAGGCATGGGAACAGAGCCGTGGTCATCTGAGATCCCATGGGAGAGGTCAGCCCCATCTGTGGCTTCCTGTGAGGCCCTGGCACAGATTCCCAGAGCAGCAGTGGCTGCCCCCAGTCCCTGGCAGTGTCCCAGGCCACGTTGGACAGGGCTTGGAGCAGCCTGGAACAGTGGGAGGTGTCCCTGCCATGGCAGGGGTGGAAGTGCTTTAAGGTCCCTTCCAACCCAAACCAATCCGTGATTTTCACACTCTCAAAGGGAAGGGAGCTGCAAGGCCCCAGAGCAGGGGATGTGCTCAGGACACCATGGGCCTGTTGTGGAGCTCCTCAACTGTCCCAAATTCTCACCAGGACAGAAGGAAGCAGCTCAGCCCTGCCCTGGTGGGTGTCCAGCTCCTACGTGTGGAATGGGAGCAGATGGAGAGATGCCCCATCCCAACACCGTCCTGTTCCTCTGTCCGGATGGATTGGATGAAACTGGAGGAAACTGGGCAAAAGGCCAGCCTGGGACACGTGATCAGCCCAAATTCAAATTTGAAATACCTGTAAATTTTCCCTGTCTGAGAAATCAGCCCCAGCTGCCAGCCACTCCTCATGTTCTGCTCTCTGTTTTCATTTTCGTTTGTTCCCACTGCCTACTGAAATAATTTCCTGCAAACCTGTGTGGAGGTGGCTCCTGTCCCAGATTGAAACTCCAGGGACCTTTCCCAATATTGCAAAAATCCCAGGGATCCTTGACCCCCGGAAGCTGTAGGCAGAGGGCAAACATTGCCTGGACTTTATCTGCAGGTGCCCAGGATTCATCTGCCAGCCCTGATTTCCCCAGTGGATGGGACACAGGATCCCATTTCAGTGCCTGCAGCAGATCAGACACAGATCCAGAGCAATCCAAGACCTGCAGGAGGAGGCTGTGGCTGTTCCCAACAGGCACATCCAGCTGGAGACACGATGTCTCCAGCGCTTCCCATCCTCTTCACCATCCTGCTCCTCTCAGCCGGGGCCTCTGGAGCACCGTAAGTTCCCTCTGTGTCCGTCTGTGCCTGCTGGGATGGCTTAGCCTTGGCTCCCTTGCAGCTCCTGGTGGGATTCAATCCCTCCTGTGCCCTGATTGCTGCCCAGGGTGGGAATGCTCAGGCTGGGGGTTCTCCCTGCCCAGGAGCACTGAGGACCTGGCCCTGGTGCCTCTGAGGAGTTGTTGTGCAGAGCTGAGCTGAGGAGCCACGGGCAGCCCGGGAGCAGAGAGGGCTGGGGGGGTCCCTGTGCTCCCAGGGGCTTTTCCAGGTCTCTGGAAAAAAAAGGTGGGGCTGTGCTGGATGTGCCTCACCCCCAGGGCTCTCCTGTCCCTTGTCCCTGCCAGGAGTTATGTGGTGGTGTCCCCGGCCGTGCTGTACCACCCTCACCCTGCCACGCTCTGGGTGCACCTCAGTGACCTCCAGGGGCCCGTCCAGGTCCATGTCCAGCTGCAGGGGGACAGCAGGACACCTCCCACCACCCTGCTGACGAGAGAGGTTCTGGAGCCTCATCTGCACCTGAATGTCACCTTCCCTGTGAGTGTCACCCCAATGTCACCCCAAACCAGCCGGGAGCAGGGAGGGGGGCCCTGGGTGGTCTCCAGGCCGTTTCCATCAGCTCCACACAGGGCTGGGAACAGATGTGACTTCCCCATCTTGCGGCAGAGTCTCACCCCTTTTGTCACACTGACAGAACTCCTCAGGCTCCGTTGGTTATCCCGTGGCCGGAATGATCCCGTTTGCAGGGGAGGGGGGGGACCCTGCCCAGCCCCTGGCTCGGGGAAGGTGTTCCTGGGGGTGGGCAGTGCTCTGGGACACCCGCAGGGAGCCCGGGCACTGTCCTTGTCCTCACCCCCAGCCTGCTGCTCCCCCTGCAGGCTCCAGCCCCTGCCAGAGGGAAGGAGGAAATCGTGGCCCTGCACGTCTCAATCCAAGGAGATTCCTTGAATGTCTCCGAGTCGAAGAAGGTGATGCTGAGAGCTCTGAAGCCCGGGATCTTCATCCAGACAGACAAGGCTGTCTACAAGCCCGGGCAGGAAGGTGAGGGGGGCAGGAGGGACAACCCTGCCCTGGGGGAACCCCTGGTGGGGGAGAGGGGTGAGGAGACCCAGCCTTGCTCCTGCACTGCCTGCAAATGGGAGGGATTATCCTGGGATGTCCTGGAATGCCCAGCACAGGGCAATGCCAGGGCTCGCTGCTTAAGGGGCAGTGAGGGCTCGGGGTGGATTTCCATCCACCTTCCCATGGGGAATTCCCCTCGCTGCGCATGAAGCCACTCCTCCATCTCGGTTTCCTTTCCCAGTGAAGTTCCGAGTCGTCTCTTTGGATAAAGACCTGACCCCCAGCAACCAGAAGGTGAGAGCAGGGCTGGGCCGTGTGGAGGTGACAAGGGATCTTGTGCTGGATCCCCGCAGCCCAGCCAGCCTTGGGAGAGGTGTGGAAGTCACCTTTCCCCTTGGGAATGCTGCCCTGGCCAGCTCTGCCCGGGGAGCTGCCCCCGGGGCAGGTTTGCCCTGTGCTGCTCAGGGATGCAGCAGCATCAGGAAGGAGAAAGCAGAGGGCACGTGTGACACGGGAATGTGCCCACACCAGCTTCCAGCTAGGGATGCAGCCCTGGTGAGTGGGAAGTGGGGAATGTGCTGATATCCATCAAGGCATCAGACACCAGGAATATCAACAGGCTCAGCCTCTGGCACCCCTGAGCAATCACTGGGGTCCCTGGAAGTGCAGGATGCTCCCAGATTAAAGGGGTTCTAGACCCTTCCTAAAGCCTGGGAGATGCCACCTTTCTGTGCCATGCTGGCAGTGCCTTCAGCTCATCCCTGCTAGAGCCAGGTTCAAAATACACCCCAAAGCATCCTGAGGGCTTGGAAGTTCACAGCATCCCACAGAAAAGCCTCCCTCTGCCCCATCCATGGCCATGCTCACCCTGGTGAGACCCCAAGGAATGGAATTGCTCCTCTAACCATCCTCTCTTTGCCTTTCAGCTGCCCCTGGTGTTCCTGAAGGTCAGTTTGGGACACCTGGGGAGTGGGGTGGGCTTTGGAGGGCCGTGAGAGGGGACACAGGACACAGCCAGGGCTGTTTGCTGGGTTCCCTGGTGCTGATCCCACATGTCCCTGCGCAGGATCCCAGTGGGAACCGCATTGCACAGTGGCGGGAGGTGACCCCTCGGCAGGGAATCGTGGATTTGTCCCTCCCGCTGGCCTCGGAGCCGGCCCTGGGCACCTACACCATCAGCGTGGAGGGGAAGAGCCATTCCTTCAGCGTGGAGGAATATGGTACACGGGGACTGGGGAGTGGGATCCCACCATGGGCAGCAGGTCTTGACCCCCTCCAGCCACCCAGGAGATGTTGTCACCGTCCTGGGAGTGACCACCCTCTGTCCTTGTGCCTGTCCACCAGTGCTGCCCAAGTTTGAGGTGATCATTCATCTCCCCAGCGTGCTGCGGCAGAAGGACGAGAAGTTCCCTGTGGAGATTTGTGGGCGGTGAGCTGGGAACAGGGAATGGGGGGGATGGGGAGATCCAGCGGGGTGGGGCCCCCTGGCACAGCCTCTCCACTGTCCCCACACAGCTACACTTATGGGAAGCCTGTCCAGGGGAAGGTCCAGGCTGACTTGTGCTTCAGCCAGAGTCTCTCACCTTACCAGAGGAGGAAGACCTGCACGCAGGTTACTGGGCAGGTGAGTGTGGCTGGGACTGGGGGTGTCACTGGCATGGCTCCTTCCTGGGAATGCTGCTGACAGGACTGATCTTCCTCCAGACGGAGAAGAATGGCTGCTTTTCCACAGAGGTTTCGCTGGCTGCCTTTGAGACCATCTGGAAGTTGAGGGAGGAACTTGAAGTCAAGGCATTGCTGGTGGAGGATGGGACAGGTGGGGATGGGAGTGTGGCCATCCCTATGTGCTCCCAAGGGATTGGTCTTCTCCAGGAACACCCAAAAGCACTGCTGGGATTTAGGGGTGCACATGCTGGGATGGGATTTGGGTGGGGTGAGAGTCAGGTTAGCCTGGCAAGACTTGGAATTCCAAGCAGAAGAAAGGGAAAAACACCTTTCCAAGATCCAGCAGCTCTGCCAGTGCTGGAAGCTGAGTCCTGGCAGTGCAGAGTGGTTGGGTTCACCTCTGAGCTTGTCCCTCGCTCGCCACCTCGTCACACCAGGAGTGCCTGACCTGGCTGGAGAGAAAGGAGAGCAGGGCTTGTCCCTGTGCCCATCAGCCCCTCATGATGCTGCTGTGGTGAAGAGCCTTTTCTGAAGTGTCTGCCCCCAGCTGCATCCTGGTTTTAGATGTGAAATATTGCACAGGGTTTCTGCTGCTCTTGTAGGAGAGGCAAACCGTGCTGGGAGCTGCAGGAGGAAAGCCCAAATGCCCAGGGACCTTTTCTGCTTGGGGACGGGGGCACTGGCTGGAGCTAAGCTGTGTCTTGTGTCCCTGCAACTCCCTGAGCTCCGCATTCACTCTCCACAGGGCTGGAGATGAAGAGCACCAAGAGCTGCAAGGTTTTACCCGACACAGTCACGATCATCTTTGAGAAGACTGACCACGTCTACAAGCCCGGCCTCCCCTACACCGGGACGGTAACGGAGGGTCCCCTCTCCCTGTGGGGCTCACCTGCCCCCTGCTGCTCCCAGCCCTGCTCCTGCCCACCCCCGGCCCTGTTCTGCCACAGCTGCAGCCCCAAACCACGGCATCCCCCCTTCCCTCCCGGCACAGATCCGGCTGCAGGAAGCCGATGGCCCTGGGCTGCCCCAGAGGCAGGTCCTGCTCTCGGTCAGGAGCCGGGGGCAAGAGGAGATACACAGCTTCCTTACAGACAGCTCAGGGAGAGCCTCCTTCCAGCTGGACGCCTCTGGCTGGAGTGGTAGAGTCTCCTTGCGGGTAAGTGCCCCACCCGGGTCCCCCACTCGGAGGTCCTGGAGCTGCTTCCTCCAGTGGGTGCCTTGGAGCAGCACCAGCCTCGGGGGCTGCTGGGTGGATTCACCCCCTGATTCCCACCTCAGGCTCAAGTCAACAGGACAGCTGAGAGCAAGGAGGACTCAGCAGGCGGCTTCGGAATTGCCTTTCTGACAGTCGTGCCCTACTTGTCGAAGAGCAGAAGCTTCCTGCACATCCGTGACCCGGAGGGGGAGCTGCCCTGCGGCCATTCCCAGCTGTTCCACGTGGATTCCATCTTTGGCAAGGAGGCTTTAGGCAGTGAGCTGAAGAGCCTGGATCTGGTTTTCATGGTGAGCCCCAGCCCAGGGAAGGAGGGCAGCAGGAATCAAAGTGATTGTGTGGGAAAAGCCACATCTCCACAGACATTCATGGTGGTGTCCCCAGGAACAGGACAATGAGCAACCTGTCCTAGAGAGACTGAGGGACCTGTCAGAGGAGGTGGCTGCTGCCACTGTTGGGCCTGCACCTCCATGGGAGATGGGGAGCTGGAGACTGGGCTTGGTCAAAAATCATCCCAGAACTTTCATTGTGGGTCCATCCTCCATCAGGGCACTTGGATTCCACACTCAGCATCTGTTTTGTTCTCACCCCCTCCTCTGCAGGTCCTGGCCAAGGGTACCATTACCAGCATCTTCAGGAAAGAGGTCGCTGCAGAGCCTGGTATGTCCCATGGCATGGAGGGGCTGTGCAGGGCTCTGCTCCCTGTGCCTGCTCCTCACAGAACCATGGAATGGTTGGGTTAGAAGGGGCCTCCAAGCCCATCCTGGGTAGGGACACCTTGCACTCTCCCAGGGTGCTCCAAGCTCTGTCCAACCTGGCCTTGGACACTTCCAGGGCTGGAGCAGCCACCGTTTCTCTGGGTAACATCTCCCTCCTTCCCATGGCCCAGGACAGAGAGTCTCCCTCACCCTGGAGCTGCCCATTGGGCTGGAGCTGGCGCCCATGGCCAGGCTTCTGGTCTATGTGGTGCTGCCCAACGGCGAGATGGTGGCTGACAGCACCGAGCTCTATGTGGCCAAGTGCTTCCCCAACCAGGTGAGAGGAGCTGGGCTGTCCATGGCTGCCTGCCTTGGGATCTGTCCCGCTGCAGGTGCATCACAGTGTCACAGTCTCTCAACCCATTTCCTCATCCCCAAACCCTGTGAGAAGAGCCCTCCCTACCTGTGGCTTGGTCCAGCCCCTCCACAGGAGGTGACTGCCCTCTGCCTCTGTCTCCTGATGTCCCTGTGCAGGTGAAGATGGCATTTTCAGAGGCCAGGGCCCTGCCTGGGGCGGCACTGAGGCTGCAGCTGGGGGCTGCCCCAGGCTCCCTGTGTGCTGTCCGAGCCGTGGATCGCAGTGTGCTGCTCCTGAAGCCCGAGGCTGAGCTCAACGCCGAGGCTGTGAGTGCTGGCTCTGCCTGGGGTCCCCCTGCAGCCCCAGGAGCAGTCTGGGCTGGGGATGGGATGACATTGGCTCAAGTGTCCTTCACACGGACCCAGTGCTGTGGTGGCTCCCGGGCAGAGCCCTGTGCTCTGAAAATGAGGTTTTTGCACGTCTTTATTCCCAGATCTACAAAGCACTGCCCGAATTCAACTACCCCTACAGCATCCAGGATGGACCAACACCCTGTTACTTTTACTGGCGAGACACCAGGATGGAAACCTACAAGTTATTCCAGGTGAAGCCCCTGCCCGCCTGGGCCTCCTGGGTCTTCTCCATCCAGGAGCCACCCATGCTCCTCCCAAGTGCTGGGGAAACCACACTTGTGGCAAAGGACTTCCCTTTCCTGCCAAGCCCAGGCTCCTTCTCCACTTGTTTTCTGAAGCTCTGGGACTACTCACTGCTGGAATGGGGATATTCCTCCTGCTGGCTGTGGGAGATGGACAACTTCTGCTTTTTCACAGCTTGCAGCACTGAAGCTCTTCACCAATGCCAATACCAAGGAGGATTGCCAGCCCATGTTCTATTCCCGCCTCGTTGGACTGGCAGGTCCTGCAGGTGAGCACAGCCCTTGTGCCGAAAAGAGCAAAGAGCTGGTGGCCAGTCCTGGCTGCTTTGTCCTCAGGGGGACTTGGAGCCATCCAGAAAATACCTTGGCATCAAAGGGGATGGAAGAAGATGGAAAAGGGTGACCAAGATCACCCTTGTGCTGGCTGCTGGTGAGGTCCAGCTGAGACCTGAGGCCCCCAAGTTCTACTCTGTCTTTTTCAGGAGCAGTGGCACAACCCAATTATGTGAGGGAAAGCAGCATTATCCCAGAACTTGCAGAAGTGTCCAACAAAGCTTTCCCCGTCGAGGGCGGGGAAGAGCCCCCAGCACCCCGGACGTATTTCCCAGAGACGTGGCTGTGGGACCTGGTCCCTGTGGGGTGAGAGGACAGTTCCCAACGGAAGGGAGTTGGGGACCTCAGAATTCCTTCTACCTGTGGGATGGCACCAGCAGTGTCACAGCGGTGTCACTCAGGCCATGCCACCAGCCATGCTGGGGTGGCCTCACGATGTTGTCCATGGCGCAGGGAGGGTGGCTCTGCCGAGGTGACAGTGACAGTGCCCGACGCCATCACGGAGTGGGAGGCCGGGATGTTCTGCATGGCCCCGCAGGGCCTGGGGCTGTCCCCTGCTGTCACCCTCACAGCCTTCCAGCCGTTCTTCGTGGAACTGGCACTGCCCTACGCCGTGGTGCGCCACGAGACCTTCACCCTCAGGGCCACCGTCTTCAACTACCTGCGCCAGTGCCTGAGGGTGAGCGGGGACGGGCAGGGGACCTCGGGGTGTGGCAGGGGCTGATGGAGCCGTGGCCGTGCTCTGGCAGGTTCAGGTGAGGCCCAGGCAGGTAGCCCTGGCTGTGGGGGCTGCTGGAGCCATGGCCACGCCCCACAGGTTCAGGTGACACTGGCAGAGTCGGCAGAGCTGGAGGTGTCACCAGGTGCAGAGGACACCTACAGGAGCTGTGTCTGTGCAGACGAAGCCAAGACCTTCCAGTGGGGCGTGCGAGCCACCAGTCTGGGTACAGAGCTGTCACCACCCCACCCTGCTGCCTGGGGACCCTCTCAGGGGAGGGGGTAGGGTGGGCAGGGAGGGCAGGAACCCCAGGGCACCCGGGCAGTTCTCCGTTCCTCCACTCCCACCCTTCCTGGGGACCCCTAACCCAACCCAGCCTAGCCAGCCCCACCCCAAGCCTAGGGGGCTGTGCTCAGGTCTGGGGGCTCCCTGGGGACTGAGGGTCGTGTTTGCACCTGCAGGGGAGGTGAACATCACCGTGAGCACTGAGGCCCTCAGCTCCACCGAGCCCTGTGGCAATGAGCTGCCCCTGGTGCCAGCCCAGGGCCGTGTGGACACTGTGATAAAGCCCCTGCTGGTGCAGGTCAGAGGGTTGTGGAGGAGGAAAATGGGATGGATTTGGGAGCAGGGTGCAAGCAGCCCTTGCAGGGCTGGGAGAGAACACCCAGATGTGAAGCCAAGTGTGACCCAAGGGGGACAGGCAGGTCCCTCCTTGTGACTGACTCTGATGCTGCTTCCTCACAGCCCGGGGGGATCCTGGTGGAGAAGGCTCACAGCTCCCTGCTCTGCCAGGAAGGTAGGACTGCCCAGGGCTGTCCAGCAGTGCTGTGGGGTGTGGGCCAAGGATCCTTGGCCACTGCTCACAAGGGCCACCAGCCCAGAGGAGCTAAAGGCCAGGGTGCCTGGGCAGGAATGGAGGGGGGTGAGGTCGCCATGGGACAGGCTGGGAAGAGCTGGGCATTCCCACTGTCATAGCCCTCTGTCCCCACAGGTGCTGAAGAAGTCTCCTTGGAGATTCCTCCAAACATCCTGGAGAGCTCCCAGAGAGCCCACGTCACCGTGATGGGTAAGGGACAGGCTGGAGTGGCCTGGGGACCCACTGGGACAGGGTGGGTGCAGAGGTCCCCAGGCTCAGCAGGACATGGGACCACCTGGAGCTGACATGGGGGACATGGGTGCTGGTGGCAGGGGCGCAGCTGAAAATGTGTCCCCCTGGAACAGGTGACATCCTGGGCAATGCCCTGCAGAACCTGGACAATCTCCTGGCCATGCCCTACGGCTGTGGGGAGCAGAACATGGTTCGCTTTGCCCCCAACATCTACATCCAGCAGTACCTGGAGAAGACGGGGCAGCTGCTGCCGGACATCCGTGCCAAGGCACAGGGGTTCCTGCAGAGCGGTTAGTGGGACCCTGACACCCCACCTGCGAGGGACACCACTGTCCCACAGCCCTCTCCCTACTGCACCTGGCTCTTCTGGGGTCCCCTGGGCACAGAAATAGTGCCCTGTCCCCATGTCCTCCTGCAGGGTACCAGCGGGAGCTGCTGTACAAACACGACGATGGCTCCTACAGTGCCTTTGGGAAGAGTGATGGCAAGGGCAATACCTGGTGAGGGCTTTGCAGCTGCCCCCAGGGCTCCTCCTGCCACCCAGGGAGTCCCAGTGCTGACCCTCAGCCCTCTGATGTCTCCCTGGCTCCAGGCTCACGGCGTTTGTCCTCAAGTCTTTCGGGCAGGCCCGAGCCTACGTGGCCATCGAGGAGCGGCACATCACGGATGCGCTGCGCTGGCTGCAGCAGCACCAGAGGAAGAGCGGCTGCTTCCGCAGCATGGGCAAACTCTTCAACAACGCCCTGCAGGTGGGGCAGGGGCTGTGCTGGGGACCCAGAGTGTGGTCTGGGCAGGGGGGTGTCCTTGTGTTGGTGTCACAGCTCGGCCGGACCCGTGTCCCGCTGTCCCCTCGCAGGGTGGTGTCTCAGACGAGCTCTCACTCTCGGCGTATGTGACAGCAGCGATGCTGGAGCTGGGGCTGCCCACGCTGGTGAGGATGGACCCTTCCTCCCCACAGGGACTGCTGGTGTGGGGACAGCTGCTGGGACAGGGGATTGGCCATTGCAGGGCACCTCGCAGCCCAAACTGGGCACATTTAGTCGTGTTGGGCAGCAATGGGGTCTCTGAGTGAGTCCTATACCCTGGGCTGGCTCCTGACTCCGCTGCCACGCCAGGAGCCGACGGTGAGCTCAGCCCTGAAGTGCCTGGAGGCTTCTCCCACGGACAACCCGTACACACAAGCCCTGCTCGCCTACGTGTTCGGGCTGGCGGGGCTGCGGGAGCAGCAGCAGGCGCAGCTGCAGCGCCTGGCCCAGCACAGCGTCAGCACAGGTACAGCCCAGGCAGGGGCACTGCGGGCACTGCCACCTCCGGGAGGGACCTCAGTCCAGCCCGCAGCAGGGCCTGAGCTGCTGCCCCTTCTCCCCCAGAGGGGCAGCTCTACTGGCAGAGGAAGGAGAAGGCTGAGAAGCCCTCGGAGCTGTCCTGGGCTGAGGCTGCACCGGCCGAGGTGGAGATGACAGCCTATGTGCTGCTGGCCTACCTGTCCCAGCCCTCCGTGTCCCCTGCTGACCTGGGGACAGCGTCCCAGATCGTCCGCTGGCTCTGCAAGCAGCAGAACCCCTATGGGGGCTTTGCCTCCACTCAGGTACCAGCCTTGGGCTCCCAGGAGCTGCTCCAGACCGGCCCCTCCTGGCAGCCGTGCTCAGGGGTGACCCTGGCACTGTCTTGTGCATAGGACACCGTGGTGGCCCTGCAAGCCCTGGCCAAATACGCCTCCCTGACCTCTGGCAGCAACGGGGACCTCACGGTGACGGTGACATCGCCCACGGGGACAGTACAGGACTTTGTGCTGGACAGCAGCAACCGGCTGGTGCTGCAGCGGGCAGCCCTGGCCGAGCTGCCGGGCACCTACAGGCTGCAAGCCCGTGGGCAGGGCTGTGCCCTGGCACAGGTGGGCACAGCCTGGGCTCCCTGTCCTTGGCCCTGCCCCTGTCCCCTCTCTGGCTTCACCCCGTGCTGTCCCCCAGGTGACCCTGCGCTATAACGTGCCCCCCCCGCCCAGCACGGGCGCGTTTGAGCTGCGGGTGGAGACGGAGCCGCTGCCTGGCACACAGAACCCCCAGTTCCTGCTGCGGCTCTGGGCACGGTAGGGACTGGGGCTGTCCCGGGTTTGGGGAGGACAGGAGCAGCCAGGGAGGGAAATCCCCAAGCACACCCTGGGGCTCTGCCCTTGCAGGTACACTGGGGAGCGTCCTGCCACCAACATGGTTGTCATCGAGGTCAAGCTGCCATCGGGCTACAGCCCGGACAAGAAATCTGTGGTGGAGGTGAGGAGCCCCCTGCCCCCCTCTGGGATTACCCCATCCCACAGGTCCCTACCCCTCGGGGGCTCTGGGACATGGAAGGACACTTGCTTGGGGTGCTGGGCACCCACGGAGCAGCTGTGACTCTTCCTGAGCCGTGTCCCTGCAGCTGAAGAGGCAGAACCTGGTGAAGAAGGTGGAGGTGCAGCCCGATCAGGTGACCATTTACCTGGAGCAGGTGAGATGGGGACAGGAGCAGGAGCCCTGGGATGTGGGGGATTTCCCCATGGTGGATGGCTGCACCTTCCCTCTGGGCTGTCTCCACAGCTGAGCAAGGAGGAGGAGACCTTTTCCTTCCGAGCCCAGCAGGACTTCCTGGTGAGCAACCTCCAGCCGGCCACCGTGTCCCTGTACGACTACTACGAGACAGGTGAGCCTTGCAGGGCCATGTACTGGTCCTGCTGCCACCCCTGCAGCCCCAGAGGCTCAGTGGGGTCTGGCTGATGAGCTGATCCCACTGATGAGCTTTGGCTCGTTAAGGGAGCAGCTCCTCCCAGGCCCATGGTCACCACCCCTCCCGTTGCAGGTGACCATGTGGATGTGGCCTACACTGCACCCCCCAGCTCAGGTAGGGGCTGAGCCTGCCAGGCCAGGGGTCACCCCACCCTCAGGACCCTGATGGGGACACACCACCCTGGAGGGTCAACCTGGGAAGGAGGACAGGGAGTGAGGACAGAGGAGCCCATCCCAAAGTCCTGCCCCAATTGTTAGGGATTTGCTGGCCAGAACTTGGGGGCAGAGGTCAGGAAGGGCCCAGGTGTCCAGCCTGGGGGTGCAGGAGGTGCTGTGTCTCTTTGAGGGGGCTCAGCCCCCATCGGCCCTGGCCTTTCTCCAGTGACCCCTGGGGGTTTGGGGTCACACAGGGAATGGGACACTGAGCTCCAAGGGATGTAGCTCAGCCAGAGGGTCAGGGGCAAGCAAGGGTGGTGGTGGGGGGTTGTGGGGACTCTCGTCTCACAGCACCCCCATATTCTATCTTGAAGAGGAGAAGGAAAACGTCTAACTCAGCCTGGAGCCTGACAGCCCATCCCTGCTCCAGCTCCCGTGGCCACCAAGGACAGGGATGACTGAGGTCTCCGCTCCCACCCTGGCCCTGGTCCCGACTCTCCACGGGGGCAGGAGGCGGCCCAGAGACCCTCCCAGCACCACTGGCCCCCAGCAGGGCCCCTCTGGATGGAGCTACAGCTCCCCCCACCCCAGGATCTGCAGGCGAGGGGCTCCTGCAGGCCCAAGGACACGCATTTCTCCAGCCCTGCCACACGGTGGACTTGGCTGAGCAACCACTGTGGGAACTTCACAGGGACACCCCTGGGCCACCTCCTGCCACCCCTGCAGGGGGCTCTGGGGTGCCAGCTCTGGCCTCTCCCCTTTCCACAGCACCTGAAGGGGACCTAGAGCTCCTCCCTGCTGCCAAAGCCTCCCTGGCAGGTCCCTACCACCCCTCACCCCAGCCCCCTCCCCAGCACTGACATAGCACCAGTGTCACCACGAGGGACTTGGGGACAATCTGCAATCCCAGCACAAACCAGTCAGGTGCCTCTTGGAGAGAAGCTAGGGCCTGGTGGACCCCAGCCCCTGCCCTGGGTCTAAATAAAGCCATATAGTCAGGCACTTGTTACTCTTGGTCTTTATTTTCCTTGAGGATCCCACTCCAGAAGGGGGTGGGGACAGAGGGGACAGGGTGGCTGCTGTGGTCTGGGGCAGGAGGTGAAGGTAAGGAGAGTCAATCCCTGTCAGACAGAGCCAAGTGGGCTCCTGAGGCACGAGCAGGTGAACGGAACACACCCAGCAGTGCCCTCTCTGCCTGTCACATGACAAGGGGACAATGGCAGTGCCAGCACACGTCCCTCACCTCACCCAGGTGCATGGCACAGCCCTGGGCAGCCTCAGCCTGGGGTTAAACTCTGCTGTCCCTGAGCAGCTGCTCTGGGCAGAGGCACCACTGTTCTGGCCCAGGGATGTCCCCCAGAGCCACACCCTCCCTGGGGACAGCTGGGGCTGACCTGGATGCTGCTGTGATGTCCCAGCAGAGCCAGTCTGGTGACACCTGGGGCTGTGGCCAGGGGCCAGGGCCACAGCACTGGGGCCAAATGACCCCTCTGTGCCCCAGGGGAGAGCACGAGGCACTGTCACAGCAAGGCACGGACTAAGCAAGGTGTGGCCAAGCTTCAGCCCTGTCCCCACGGTTCCTGAGGTGGCAGTGGGCACAGGAGCGAGCCCTGTGCCCCAAGCTGAGTCTCTTGCTGGGGATGGAGCCACTCCCACCTCACTTGTGGCGCTTTTTCTTCTGCTCTTTGCGTTTCTGAGCCCTCACATCTTTCTTGAGGCGGCTGTCAACCACCTTGAACTGGCCCTTGACACCAGGGGGACGCCGCACCCGGGGTCCCACGCCCTTCTTGGCCACCAGGTAGGTGACCTGGCGCTTCTCCTTGGCCAGCCCAGCCTTCTTGTAGATGCTGCAGAAAAAGGACAAAGGTCAGAGTGAGTTTGGGTGAGACAAAAACCAAACCCAGTGTTGGGACATCATCGGGTTCCACCCTGCCTCTGGCTCTGCCACCCCCGGATCAGCCTGGCGGGGGACACAGAGCTGTCACAGTGGCTGCAGGGACACGGCCCCAGCAGCCAGCCCAGCCACAATCAGAGGAGCTGGATCCTGGCTTGGCCACTCACCGGCGCAGCTGGGCCACCTTCTCCCGCTCCGAGATGTCCACGGTGCTCACCACAGCCTCGGCCTTCTTCTTCATCTGCTCCAGCTTCTTCAGCATCTGGGGGGCAGCCGGGGGGGGACACGGGGTCAGAGGAGGAACAGGGGGGTCAGAGGTGGGACAGGGGCGTCAGAGGAGGGAGTGGGGGTCAGAGGTGGGATGTGGGATCAGATGTGGGACAGGGGAATCAGAGGAGGGATGGGGTATCAGAGGTGAGACAGGGAGTCAGAGAAGAGATAGGGCGTTGGAAAAGGACGGGGTATCACAGATGGGACAGAGATTGGAGGAGAGACAGGGGTCAGAGAGAGGACTGAGGCCCTGGAGAGGAGTCAAGGCACCCCTGGGAGCCCACCCTCACTCACCCTCCGCTTCTTGCGGGCCTTGGCCTCTGCCACCTTCTTGATGGGGCGGGCATTGATCTCCTTCCAGCGCTGCCGATAGGCCTCGACCGTCTGCTTGTCCACGGGCAGCTGCCGGCGCCGGTGCTGCCGCTCCTCCTCCGTGAACCACTCGGGCAGCTCCCCCTCCTCCTCGTTGTAGGAGTACCTGCAGGATGCCAGGTGAGCTGTGAGCAGGACATGGGGGTCCACTTCACCCGTCCCTGCTGGGGAACAAACCCTGCAGCCCCCAGCCCCGTACCTGTTGAAGGAGTCGTCGATGAGGTCCCGCCGGGCCTTTTTGGAGGAGGCAATGACCGAGCCGAGGGCCAGGCCCTCTGCATCCAGGACTCTTTTCACTGCGGGACAGGGGAAAGCTTGGCCTGGCTACAGCCCAAGAGCCAGGGAGCAGCCCTGGGGACCATGGTCTGTCCCTGCCTCCATCTCCTGTCCCTCCTGAGGGACCCCTATGGCCCCCACTCACCTGGGTTCTCAATGGGCACCACCTCAAAGCCACAGGGTTCGACACGGCCCCGCTTCCTCCCCGCTGGTGCCACTGGCCTGTGGAGAGGAATGGGCAGGGCTGGGGTCCTTCAGCTCTCCAGGACTGTGGAGCTGGGGAGGACACCCAGACCCCCCCCTCAGCCCTCACCTCTCATCTTCACTGCTGCTGTCATCGTCACTGCTCTGCTCCTCCTGAGCTTCACTGGCATCGGGAGCTGTGGCTGCTGCAGGGGGGGGCTCGGCTGGAGCCTCTTCCTGGGCCACCTTTTTCTTCTTCTGCCCTTTCTTTGTTGTTTTGTCTGGAAATGAAAAACACTGCGTGAGACAAAACCACGGCAGACCCTGCCACAGACACTCCTCTAGAGATCCTGCTCATTAACAATGACAGCTCATTAACAATGACAACTTGTTAGTGACACAGGTTGGCAGCAGTCTGGTCTAGTGGGAGGTGTTCCTGCCCGTGCCAAAGTTTGGAACGCAGTGCTCTTTGAGGTCCTTTCCAACCCAAACCATTCCATGCTGCTGCTCAGGGCAGCATCTCTGTGGTGCCTGCCCCCAGTGCCCCAGACTGGGCTCTGGGACTGTCCCTCTGTGTCCCCTCACCTTTCTGAGCCTCACGCTGCCTCTCAGCCAACATCTGGGCCTGCCCCAGCTCCAGTTCCTCATCCGCATCATCCTCGATGCCAGCAAAGGCGTCCTGGGATGAGGAACAGTGGGGTCAACCCAGGGATGGGGGTCAGCCCCAGCGATAAGGATCGGCCCCAGGGATGGGGGGGTCAGCCCAGGACAGTCCTGGGAAGCTGCTGGGGTGGAGGATCCTCCATCATTCCTGCCTCACAAGCGGGACTCACCTTCCCGAACCACAGGCTGGTCCGTCGCTCCTCCAGCACTGACTTCTCCTCCAGGGGCACTAGCAAGGGATTCTCCACTTCTTGTCCTTCCTCCTCCTCTTCCTTATGTTTAAACTTCGGCCTGTGACACAGAGCAGCAGGATCAGTGTCCCCAGCCCTGACTGGCTCCTGGAGCTGCCCGAGGGACAGCCCCTGCCCCAGGGCACCTCTCCCTTCTCACCTCTTCCCACGCTGCTCCCGCTCCAGCTTCCGCTGCCGGGCCTCGATCTCCAGCAGCTCCTCTGGGTCCAGGTCACTGGCCAGGGACACGTCATCCTCTTCCTCGTGATCAGACACGTAAATGTCATCGTCCCCAGGGCTGATCTCCAGCAGGGCATCGGCCGAGGCCATGTCCCCCCGGGACAGCTCATCCAGCAGCTGCAGCACAGGTTACGGAGTCACACAGGTGACACAAGTGACACGAGTCACAGGCCAGGCCCTGTCCCAGCCCGGGAGCTCCCCCACGCACCGGGGTCCTGTGGATGCTGCGCAGGGAGAACATGCTGGTGTCCCCATCGTCAGCGATGGACACCCCGGGCAGGTCCATCTTCAGCTCCACACGCTCCCGCTGCTTCCGCTGCTCCTTCAGGATCTTCTTCTTCTTTCTGGAGGAGGCAAAGGAATGAGGTCACACTGTCCCCTGCACACACAAACACCCCAGAGGCTCAGCCCCTGCCACAGCACTGCCAACCCCCTGTGAGGGGTTCCCAGTGCTTCAGCTGCTTGGAGGAGCAGAGGAGCCCAAGGACCCAAAACGAACTCCCCCCACGAGCAGAGGGACAGGCTGACACTGCCACTCTCTGTCTCCATGGCTGCAGCCCCATCTCTCCTCCTCTTTCTACCTCTTCAGCTCTGCCAGCTCCTCGGCCTTCATCTCTGCCAAGGCCAGCTCCACCTCCTCTTGCTCTTTTGCCTCCTCAGCAGCTGCAGCTTTCGCCTCCATCTTCTCCTTCTTCTCCTCCTCCCTGCCCTCCTCCTCCTCACCGGAGCTCAGGCTGCCAAAACGAAGGAGCTCAGAGAAGCTGTGCTGGAAACAGCTGGGGACAGCCCCACCTCAGCCCGGGGACAGCCCCACCTCAGCCCGGGGACAGCCCCATCCCAGCCCGGGGACAGCCCCATCCCAGCCCGGGGACAGCCCCATCCCAGCCCGGGGACAGCCCTGCTCTCTGGTCCTACTTGATATCCAACTCCTTTGCCTGCTCCTTCAGTTTCTTGGCCAAGAACCGCCGCAGCTTCGTCCTCCAGTTCAGCAGGGCCCTGGATGGGGTGGCAACTATTAGGGACAGCCAGCAGGCCCAGCTGGGGGGCGTGGCTGTCCCAGTGTCCCCCGGCACCTGAGCTCCTTGCGGCCCAGCACTCGGATGTCCCTACAGCACTGGCGCAGCTCCTCTGTGGTGGAGCTGTGATTCTCCAGCTCCCCATCGCCCAGTGTGATCTGGCACAGGGAGAGAGATTTAAATTTAAATTTAAATCCCAGCCTCCCCTCCGCAGGACAAGGACAGGAAGTCCTTCCAGACACGCACCTCGTTGGCCTTGGAGAGGAAGTCCACGGGGTTGGGAGCCTTGAGGAAGTCCATGAGGGTGAAGCGGTGGTACAGGGTGGTGTCACCCTCAGCGTAGCCTTCAGCCTGGGGGTAAAAAGGGCTGTGGCAGCCAGGGTAGGGGACAGACAGGCAGATACCACCAGCCCTGAATGGTAGACGGGGTCACCTAACTCTTGTTTTGCTGCAGTGGCCAACTAAATGTGTCTGTGCCTTGTACTTGAAGACTTTAAAAATCGTTTTCAACCTTAACCTGAGCTAAGACAAATAGCCAGTCCAGTCCAGCCCCAGCTCCCAGCTCCACCTCAGACACAAGAGCTGACAATGAAAGGTTTGTGTCAGCTCTGTGCTCAGCTGAGACCACCTGAGACCGACTTACTGTCCTAAAGCCACCTCAGAGAAACACGAACCCCGTGCCCAACTGGGTTTAACTGACCGAGCTCCAGCCTCATAGTCTCCATTTCAGCACTGTAATGGCTTTAGGGCTCCAAACTTCCCCAAAACTGGCTCTTCCAACATTTCCAAAATCTTTCATTCCCCTGAACAATTTTAATTACCGCAAGCTCTTTAGGTCCAGTCATTTGTGTCTGGCCTTACTCATACCTTGGGCTTCTTTTTGCTGACCAGCTCACTGACAGACTTGGTGGGAACCTCCACATCCTTAAAGGCATATTTGGGGTCAAAAAACTTGCTGTCGATTTTGTCTGGAGCCTGATAACCTGCGATGGAGAGATTAGAGCCATGACAGACATTCCTCTGGCACAGAGAAATCAGAGCTACTTCTCTAGGGAGAGAAGGCTCAGAACCATTACACTGCCCCAGAAGGAATCAGAACCATCACAACCATTCTTCCTGTGATGGAGGGATCAGAGCCACCAGCATGTTTTCCCAGCCCCATCCCAGGTGCTCACCCTGGCACACCACAAAGATCTCGGCAGACTCGTTGCGGGAGGCCTGGGGCTTGGTGGCCTGGACCTTCTGGAAGAATTGCTGGAAGATCCACAGCAGGGGCTGGTAATCCCGGGAACGGAAAACCTTCGTGATGAACCAACCACCCTTGCACAGGAACTCACAAGCCAACTTCAGGGCCATGAGGGTCAGGTTGGCTGCAGCAGGAGAGAAGAGGGAGTGAGGGAATGACCCTTCCCTGGGAGGGTGGAGAGAGGCTGGAGTGGGCTTCCCACAGAAGCTGTGGCTGCCCCATCGCCAAGGCCAGGTTGGATGGGGCTTGGAGCGCCCTGGAACAGTGGAAGGTGTCTCTGCCTATGGCACTGAATGGGCTTTAAGGTTCCTCCCAACCCAAACCAGCCTGGAACTCTCCAAGAGCAGTGAGATGTCCCTGTCCCCCCGTGTCCCCAGGCAGTCCCACCCTGTGAGTAGGCGTCGTGCACCCAGCTGGCTCCCACGTTGGGCGCTCCATCGTTCAGCACCACATCCACCTTCCACGTCTGCAGCTCCTTGCGCAGGGCCTGTGGGACAGGGACACCCATTTATCCCTTGCCAAGGGACCCTACGCCACCCCCCGTGATCCCCCTGCCGCACAGAGCACCAGCAGGTGACACCTGGGACAGTACCTGGCGGCACTTCTCAGTGGTGATGTCCTCCTGCAGTGTCACCACGTTGGGAATGGGCTTGATGGGCACCAAGTCGACCCCTGGTTGAAGAAAGACACCAAATCCCCTCAAAAGGGGCTCCAGCCCATCCCAAGGGGCTTCCCCACCCATCTCTTCCTCCTCCCAGGATCCCCAGGCCAGGGTCCTCTTTGTCTGTCACATCCAGGGACTGTCCCCACCTCCTGCCAAACGCCACCACTCACCAATGATCAGACTGGACACCGGCATGAATTTGGAAGCCACCTGAAGCCTAGGAAGAACAGAGAGGAGCAAAGCTGCAGCAGGATCCCAGGAGAGCTCTCAGCGTGGGACTTTGCTCCCAGGGTTTAGGACTACCAACAGAGACACAACAGGGAGCATACAGGACACCCCCAGGGCAGCTGGTGGCACCGTAGGTGGCCTGTCCCCACTCACCACCCGCCGGGGGCTGCACACAGGTCCAGCAATGCCCGAGCCTTCTGCAAGAACTGGAATTTCCGATTGAGCTGGAGCAGCTTGAAGGAGGAGCGAGAGCGGAAGCCTGGGGAGGAACAGGGGGTGGTTACTGGGGTGACAGGACCCGCAGCCCCCCTGTCCCCAGCGCCAGGCGCGGCCCTCACCCGTCTCCTTGGCCAGGTGGTAGAACTTGTCCCGCCGGCTCTTGCCCAGTTTGCTTTTCTTGCCCATGGTGGTGGCGGGGTGGCCCCTCGGGGGGACTGGGATGTGCAGTCAGCCAAGGGCTCGGACTTGGCGGGGAAAGAGGAGTGAGGGGCGGCCTGAGGCTCTGCAGGGGAGCCCCAGCCTCCCTCAGTGTCCTGTCAGTGTCCCCTCCAGTGCCCCCCGTATCTCTTCAGCTCTCTTTCAGTGCTCCCCTCGTTACTCCTCTGAGTGCCCCTCCAGTCCCTTCCCTCACTGCCCTCCCACTGCCCCCTCATAGCCCCCCTCATTGCTCCCAGCATTGCCCCCTCAGGCCCACCCGCATCCCGCTGTTCTCCCCTGAAGCCTCCAACCACCAGTGCTCAACGTCCCCTCAGCCCTGACACCCCCATGTCCCCTTCCCCAGCCCGACCCCGATCCAGACCCTGCTCCTAATCCCGATCCCGGTCCCGCTCCCTCCGCGTGCCTGCACCGCCTTCCCGGCGTGCCCCGCGCGAAGCAGCCAGCTTCCGCTTCCTCCTGCTCTGGCCGCCATTGTAGGAGTGGCGCACTCCCTCCTCTGCAGCCTGAGGGCGGAAGAAGGACTTGTCCCCTCGGAGGTGCGGGAAACAATAACGGGCCCGCTCGGTGGCGCGATCAGAACCCTGTCCTTCCCTTTCTGTGCTTTCCAACACGGAGAAATCACCTCTGACCACTCCAAAATGGCGGCGCAGTCCCGACCGAGTGATCCTATGGCGCATGCGCACTGCAACACCCCAGGGTGTATTTTTCGGAAAAGGAAGTGACGCCATCAAGCCAAGAGCGTAGCGGCCGGGCAGCGGAAGCCGGTGGCTGCCATCTTTGTTGGGGCCCGATGCCGGCGGAGAAGATGGCGCTGGACGGGCCCGAGCAGGTGCAGAAGGGCTGGGACCGGGCTAGGGATGAACTGACGGGGCTCTGGGAGGGACTCGGGGCCTTCCGTGCTGCCCCAGGCTCTGCTGCGGCCGGGACTGCTCGGGGCCTGGCAGCGCCGTGACTCGGCGGGGCCTGAGAGGCGGGACCGGATCGGGACCGGGAGGCTCGCAGGGAACGGGAGCTGCGGCTGCTCTGGGCACCGCTGGGAGCACGGGACACGAGGAACGCAAGACTCGGCTTGGGGGTGTCGGGAAGGGAGTGAGGGAAGGGAAAGGGACACTCAGGACTTGGACGGGAGCGGGAACTGGGAACAGAGCATGGGAGGAGGGAAAGGAGGAGCCAGAACCCGGCCCGGCGGTGGGGATGGGGGAGCTGGGGCCCTGCAGGGCAGCCCTCAGGTCGGCGGGGGTGCGGCGGTGTCGGAGGCCGCTGAACTCTGTTGTCTTAGATGGAGATGGACGACGGGAAGGGCGGCTCGGGGCTCCGGCAGTATTACCTGTCCAAGATCGAGGAACTGCAGGTGAGTACAGCGGCAGGAGATACTGTGACAGTGTCACTGCTTCAAGCCAGGATAGTGTGGCCGTGTCCCTACCCCTGTCCCAGAGAGTGGGGACGGGCAGGATGCTCCCTGGGAGCTCTGGGGACACGAGATGGGGCTGTGCTCTGAGCAGGGGGCATTGCTGCCCCTGGCTGAGGGGCTGTCCCCGTCCAGGTCCCTGTCCCGGCTGCCAGAGGGCAGGGTTAAGTGGGATATTAGATGGAATTATTCCCTGTGAGGGTGGGGGAGCATGGCACAGGGTGCCCAGAACAGCAGTGGCTGCCCCTGGATCCCTGGCAGTGTCCAGGGCCAGGCTGGATGGGGCTTGAGGCACCCTGGGATAATAAAAGATATCCCTGCCCATGACAAGGGGCAGAATGAGATGAGCCTTAACATCTTTTCCAGTGCAAAACATTCCATGATTCCTTGCTAAAAGCCCTGGTGCTGGGTGTGGGTGATCCCAAGGCCACTCAGCAAAACCTTTTCCTTTCAGCTCATCGTGAATGAGAAGAGCCAGAACCTGCGGCGGCTGCAGGCACAGAGGAACGAGCTCAATGCCAAGGGTAGGGCCTGGAGCCTCCTCCTGCTCACCTGGGGCTTGTGCTGGGGTCTCTGGGCTGGCCTTGGGGGGCTGCAGCCCCCGGGGCTGGTGCTGAGCTGTCCTTGTCCCTGTGCCAGTGCGGCTGCTGCGGGAGGAGCTGCAGCTGCTGCAGGAGCAGGGATCCTACGTGGGAGAGGTGGTGAGAGCCATGGACAAGAAGAAGGTGCTGGTCAAGGTACGAGGCTGAGCTGTCCCAAGGTGACAGGGCTGGGGGGGGACTCGGGGACTGCCCTGTCCTCACAGGGGATGGGACAGCTCAGGGACGTGGGGTGGGAGTTCCTTGTGCAGAGTTCCTTGGGATGGTTCTGCTGGGCCTGGAGCTGCCCAGGGGTGTCTGGTGGGGCTGGAGCTGCTGGCTTCTCTTCCTCCCAGGCCATGTGGATGTCCCTCAGCAGGGAATTCCCAGGGAAACAACTCCTGGGCTATTTGCTCCTTTCCAGGTGCACCCGGAGGGGAAGTTTGTGGTGGATGTGGACAAGAACATCGACATCAATGATGTGAGTGCCCCAGGGCTGTAGGGGGTCCCCAGGGCTGGCAGGGACACCCATCCCCCATGCTGTCCCCACAGGTGACCCCCAACTGCCGCGTGGCCCTGCGCAACGACAGCTACACCCTGCACAAGATCTTGCCCAACAAGGTGGATCCACTCGTGTCCCTCATGATGGTGGAGAAGGTCCCAGACTCCACCTACGAGATGATTGGGGGCCTGGACAAGCAGATCAAGGAGATCAAGGAGGTCATCGAGCTGCCCGTGAAGCACCCAGAGCTCTTTGAGGCGCTGGGCATCGCCCAGCCCAAGGCAAGTGCTGCTCTGGGGGAGTCCCTGGGCTGCCCCCTGTCCCCAGGCAGGCTCTGAGGTGCTGTGTGGCCGTTCCAGGGGGTGCTGCTCTACGGCCCCCCCGGCACAGGGAAGACCCTGCTGGCCAGGGCCGTGGCCCATCACACTGACTGCACCTTCATCCGCGTGTCTGGCTCCGAGCTCGTGCAGAAGTTCATCGGGGAAGGTAACGGGGCAGGGCTGGCTCTGGAGGCCCTCGGGGCTGGGTGGGCTCGGGGCCAGGCTGAGCCGTGTGCCCCCCAGGGGCCCGTATGGTGCGGGAGCTGTTCGTGATGGCCCGGGAACATGCACCCTCCATCATCTTCATGGATGAGATCGACTCCATCGGCTCGTCCCGCCTGGAGGGTGGCTCCGGCGGGGACAGCGAGGTGCAGCGCACCATGCTCGAGCTCCTCAACCAGCTCGACGGCTTTGAGGCCACCAAGAACATCAAGGTAGGGGGTCCAGCTCTGCCTGGGGTCCTGCTATCCCCACGGTGCCCAGAGTGGTGACAGTTGTCTCCTGTGCAGGTGATCATGGCCACGAATAGGATTGACATCCTGGACTCAGCCCTGCTGCGCCCCGGCCGCATCGACAGGAAAATCGAGTTTCCTCCTCCCAACGAGGAGGTACCAGAGCCACCCCCAGCTGGCCCTGTCCCCGCTGTCCCTACCCTCTCCTTGGGAGCCATTCCTGGGCTCCAACTCTCCCTGTGCCCCTGCTCCAGGCCCGCCTGGACATCCTCAAGATCCACTCCCGGAAGATGAACCTGACCCGGGGCATCAACCTGCGGAAAATTGCGGAGCTGATGCCGGGGGCCTCGGGGGCTGAGGTGAAGGTGAGCTGGGGGGACTCTGGGGGCACGGGGCTGGCAAAAGGGGCACTGGCTGATGTTCCTCTCTTGTCCCCTCAGGGTGTGTGCACAGAGGCAGGAATGTATGCACTGAGGGAGAGGAGGGTGCACGTCACACAGGAGGACTTTGAGATGGCCGTGGCCAAGGTGGGTGCCAGGGGGAGAGGTGCCAGTGAGGGGGGTAACAGGGGCACAAAGTGTCCTGAGTGGTGTTTGCCAGGAGCACAAACATGGGGATTGTCACCACGTGAATGACATGGGAGAGGCTACTGGGGCACAGGGCTGGACACAGAGGCTGCTGAGCCCTCCCTGTGCAGGGCTGAAAGTTGGTCTTGGGGTGTTTTTAGGGTAATTAACACCCAACTTGGGTACTGAATATTGGACCCACCCCCATCCCCTCCCCCCAGGTGATGCAGAAGGACAGTGAGAAGAACATGTCCATCAAGAAGCTGTGGAAGTAACGGTGAGGCCAGAGCTGTTCCCTCTGTGCTGTCAATAAAGAGCTGCTGTGGCCTGGGCACCGAGTTGGGACTGATTTGGGGACGGGGTGGGGGCTGCAATACACTGCACACCCCCAGAGCTGCAGGACACAGCACACACCCCACAGAGCTGCTGCTAACTGCTTTTATTAGAAAAGATCCAAATAGACAAAAACTGGTTACACAAGAGGCAGAGCAGGCACCCCTGAGCCCAACCCTGGGAATCTGTAAACGCCGCCCCCACCTCAGGAGCCTGCAGGGGGGCAAAGGCACTTCAGTGGGGGTGGCAGTGGTGGCACTGTCCCTGTGGTCCCCTCCCTCCTCCCCAGTATCTCCAGTTCTTGGTGCCCCTCTGCCACTACAGGCTCCTGGGGCAGAGCCCCCCCCTCTGCTGCCAAACCTCGTCAAGTGGTTAATTATGGAATTATGTAAAACAGCGGGAGGGGGGGAGGAATAAACTGATTGTCACAAAATGAACCCCAACCCTCGGTTCCGTATCCCCAGAGCAGCCCTGGGAGCCTCCCCGAGCCCCTGCAGAGCCCAGTGCAGGAAGAGGAACTCAATATATTAATTAATTCATCAAATACAAACCCACTGTACAAAACGCTGCCTTTTTTTTTTTTTCCGTGTTTTTTTTTTATATAAAACCTGTTCACAAAAATAGTGCAAAACGTCGGGGGCCGGGGGGAGCTGGCGTTTGGAATGACGAACTTTGGTTGAAGAGGGGCAGGGCGGGGCCTGCTGGGCTCGGGGTGGGGCTGGCAGCTCCTCCCCCTGGGCACGGGCAGCGCTTCCCGGCTCCCGGAGGATTTTTGGAAGCGGGAGGGGAGCGGGAAACCCGCGGGGGCTGCGCGGGGAGAGGCGCGATGCAAAGCGGAGGAGGCGCTGCGGGGGCTTGGGGTGAGCGGAGACCCCGCTGTGCTCGGCCCGGGGAGCCCGGGGGAGCCCCGGGGGGCTCCCATCCCTCCAGGCACATCGGGTTTGTGCAAGTGCTGTGGTTTCCAGTCGGTACCGTCCGGCTCGGGCAGCGGGGCGGGAGCAGCCCCCGGGCGCCTTAAGTGAGGCGGATCCCGAGCACTTGTTCCAGTTCCTGCCGGCGCTGCTGGACCTGGGGACACCGCGGCGGTCAGGGAGGGACAGGGGACACTGCCGGTGTCCCAGGGATCTGTCGCTGCCATCCCAACCCCGTCCCCACCCCCAGCTCACCTTGGCGAAGATGTGTCTGCCCACGGCCTCCTGCGCCCAGGGCTGTTGGTAGAACTCTGCCCGCCGCTCCTCCTCGGGGTTCCCGATCACATCCGTGATAATCTGAGCCCAAGGGCATGGGCACCAGCAGTGAGCTCCAGCAGGGATCCACACCCTTCCTGAGCTCCACGATGGACCCAGGCCCCTCCCAGCCCCAGGGCTTCAGAATCGTGGAATTCTTAAAGTTGGAAAAGACCTTCAACCCATACCCACCACCACCACCATGTTCAGCACTGACCCCTGTCCCCAAGGGCCACATCCATGACCGTGAACCCCTCCAAGGATGGGGACTCCACCACTGCCCTGGGCAGCTGTGCCAGTGCTGGACAACCCCTTCCATGAAGAAATTTTTTCCCAATATCCAACCAAAATATCCATAGCAATTGTTCCCTTTTACCTTGAGGTCCCTCCTCTGGGATTTGATCCATTCCTGGATAAAATCCTGGGGGTTGTTGCTGAAGCTCAGCATGAAATCCCTCTGTGTCTTCAGCTGGTTGATGGACTCGATGGTCTCATGGATCTGGGGAGGTGACAGGGGTCAGAGGAGCTGTGTCCCCCCACAGGACACGGCGGTCCTGCCTGTGGGACAGCCCCTGTCCCCCGGCAGTGTCCCCTCCCACCTTGGCATCCAGAGAGGCGATTTCCTGCTGGTTGGTGGTGGAGGCCAGGAAATTGCTCATCTGGGCTTTGAGGGGATCGTCCACCTCCACGTCAATGTCATAGCAGGCCGTCTTCTTCTGATCATTGGGGTCCACACTGGGAGAATGGGGTTGGGGAGACCTGCTGAGGTCTGACCACCCCCACCTGGCTGGGGGGTGGATAGACCCTGACAGCAACACCAGCGCCCCAAGAATCCTCAAATTTGGTGGTTCTTCTCCTCCCAGGTGACTTGTGCTGGTCCTTCAGGCTGGAGACCTCAAAGCCTCCTGCACCCCCAGCCCTGGGGACATTGCCTACCCTACTGCGAGCCCCCAGCCATGGAGACAGTGATGGGGACACTGGACCAGTCCCCACCACATAGAGCCCCCCAGGGACACAGCCACTGCCCACCCTGCAGAGTCCCTCAGTCCTGGGGACACTGCCTGGCCCACAGAGACTCTGCCTGGTGGGGCACCCCCAGCCCTGGGGACACTGCCCACCCAGTGCCCAGCCCACAGAGCCCCTCAGGGCCCGTGCCCACCCTGTGCCCCCACCTGATGGTGTGGTTGATGATGATGGGGTCTGGGTGCTGCAGGAGCCCCGCCAGTTTCATGGGGATCTCAGAGAAGCGCATGCGGACACAGTTGAAGATCTGGGGGGGCAAAGCAGAGCCTTTGGCACTCATGGCAGGGTCTCCCCTCACCTGTGCAGCCAGGTGGGACATCCCCATCTGGTACAAGCCAGAGCCCAGGGAAGGGGCACAACCAGAGCCTGGAAGGGCTGTGGGGGCCAGGGAGAGGCTTTTCTCAGCTGGATGAGGGGGCAATGTGCAGGTACCTGTCGGAAGTAGCGGTTGCAGTTGATGAACTCCTTCTCGTGGCTGTCCTGCAGTTTGTTGTGTTTGATGTAGAGCCACAGGGCCTGCATGATGCTGGCCCTGGTCTGGGTGTGCACCCCCAGCAGCCGGGCCAGCCGTGGGTCCAGCTTGTACTGGGGGGGCTGTGGGGACAGCGAGGGTCAGCTGGGATGGGAAAACTCTCCCGGAGCAAAGCCCAACCTCTGACCCATCCCTGGCCTGTACACTGTGTGCCCAGCTTCTCTGGGACAGCTGAAGGCATGGGGACTCCACCACTCTCTGGGCAGCCTGTCCCAGTCTTTAACTCCCTTTCCATGAAGAAATTCCTACTGCCCAAAGAAGAGGCAGTCGGGAGTGTCCCCACAGCCCCTGGGTCACTGCAGCTCCATGCCCAGAGCTCCCCATGCCCCTTTCAATCTCTGCATCCCCAAGCCCTCATCCAAAGCCCTTGTCCCAGCCCATCCCATCCCATCCCCAGCCCTGGCTGCCCCCAGGTGGTCCCAGGCCATACCTGGTGGTCCAGCATGAGCAGCAGGGTGCACTTCACATTGACATCCCCGGGACGCTTCACCTGGAAGCCGTCGGTCTCCTGGGTCGTGGGCATCCGGTGCCACTGCGAGGGACAACGGGGACACTGCTCAGGCAAAGACCATGGAATCCACCTGCCAGCAGGGTCTGTGTCTGCAGAGCTGGTCTGGGGCTCTGGGCAGGGTCTGGCACAGCCACACAGCCTGGGGCACCCTCTGGCAGCTCCTGATCCCAGTGGCGGCAGCTCAGAGCTCTCCTAGTCCATCCCATCCTGGGATGTGCTCCAGCACTGGGATGGACTGGGGCAGTTCCAGCCCTGAGTACTTGGGGTCCAGGGCTCCCACAGCTTCTGGATCAATCCTGCAGGGAATGTGCATCAGAGCTCCTCCCAACCGCCCAAGAAGGGGATTCAGCATCTCCCAGGGCAAAAGCATGAGCTGGGTGCAGAGAGAGCTCTGGGCAGGAGCACCCAAAGAAGATCTGATCCCTCTCTCAGGCATGGCTTAAACCCCCCAAGGACCCTCTCGCTCAGGGACAGGCAGGAGGGCACCCATGTGGGGACCCTTCTGTGCCAGGCTGGGGGGAAGCTGCCCCTGGAGTCATGTCCCTGGAGCCATGTCCATCCCCTGGAGCCCTCCCCCTGGAGTCACGCCCCTGGAGCCTTGTCCCGGCCCCTGGAGCCATGTCCCTGTCCCCACACACCACAGCACAGCTCTGGCTCAGGGCCTGGGCTGAGGGGGTCAGAGCTCAGCTCTGCAAGGGGAACAAAATGCATCCCTAAACTTGAGCTGGGAAAACAGGAAAGCATGGGCCCCATGGAGGGCATGGCACTGCCCCCAGCCCCAAAACCTGCTCAGGCCCCTCTCCCAGCAGGACAGGCCCTGGGCTGGGAGCTGAGCATCCAGAGGGGGAGCAGCAGGGCCTGCCCCCATTTCCCACTGGGATCCCTTCCCACCTCACCTCCACCAGGTGATTGTCTGGCCCATAGAGCTCCTTGTCCAGCTCGATCACGAGGCTCTTGAAGAAGGAGGAGAACTTTCTCTTCTGCTTGCTGGGCTGCAGACAGGGCAGTAGAGATTCCTGATCCCAAATCCAGCTGAGGTCCCAGCACAGCACCAGTACACCCAGCACCTCTTCATCCCTCCTGGAGGCTCCTCATGGACCAGTGCTCCTCCTCCCACCACCTCCTCACCCATCTTGGATTGTTATGGACCAGTTCTCCTCCCACTATCATTTATCCCTCCTGAGTCCTGGTGGACCAGAGCTCCTCCCACCAGCACCTCATCCCTCTGGATGATCCCATGGACCACTCCTCCCACCACCACCACCACTCCACCCCGCCTGGATCCTGACAGACCAGCTCCTCCCTCCCTCCCTCCTGGACGCTCCTGATGGACCAGAGTTCCTCCCTCCATCCCTGCTGGATCCTCACATCCTCCAGCAGTTTCCCCTCCACACGGAGCTCCCAGGAGGCCACACGCTCCCCCCCCTCTCCTTCCTCCTTGGCTGGGGTGAAGGTGTTGGAGATGTAAATCCTGAGCTTCCGCTTTTGCTGTGGGATGGGAACAGAGAGAGGGGTGGACAGAGTGAGAGGGGACTGCAGCACCCATCTCCATGGCAGGGTGAGAGGAAATGGCCTCGGGGAAAGTTCAGATTGGGTATCAGGGAACATTTATCCATGGAAAGGGCTGTACAACATTGGAATGGGCTGCCCTGGGCAGAGGTGGAATCCCCCATCCCTGGAAGTGTCCCAGAAACGTGTGGATGTTCCACCGGGGGACATGGCTTAGGGTGATGGTTGGACCTGATGACCTCAGAGGATTTTTCCAACCTCATGAATCCCATGATTCCATGATTTCCAGCCCCCCACTCACTGTCAGGGGTTTCTTGATGGCCTCCTGGATCTCCATCCTCTTCCGAGCAATGGTTTGGTCCAGCTTGCGCTCGAAGGCCAGGAGGTCCATGTAGGCCTGGGACTCTGGGACCAGCTCCCGGATCTGGACACAGAATGGTCAATCCCAGTGTGCTGGGACGGGCTGGATCCCCTCACAGCAGCCCAGGAGACACCAGGTGACAAGTCTAGCACCCAGTTCTTATTTTAAACCTAGCCTGGAGCCCTGAAAAGGGCCAGGCTTGGTCTGCCCAGAACAGTCTGGAGCCTGTCACTGTTCCCAGCAGCATTCCTGGTGTCCCAGCATGGAATGGAACCCTGGAATCTCAAGAGGGTCTCTTAGGGACTTCCTGAGATCTCTATCCCACCCCATTCCTGCTCCTCACTCAGAGTCCAACTCCACCCCAACCCTCTCCTGCCATTCCAGAGGGAACGACAGAAACATTCCAGGGTGGTTTGGGATTGAACAGAAATTCCCAGTGGGCAGGAGGGAACTCAGTGAGATCCTCCCTTTGTGGGGATCTCCCATCCCCTGCAGCAGCTCAGCTCTGACCCCTGAGCTCAGGTGACACTCACCCTCTGTGGCAGCACCTTATCAGCCATCTTCCTCCTCTTCACCCTGGGAAAAGGGAAAAATGACAGCTCCCACAGGACATCCCACTGCAGGGATGGATATTGGGAAAGGTTCTTCCCCTAGAGGGTGCTGGCACTGCCCAGGCTCCCCAGGGAATGGTCCCAGCCCCGAGGCTGCCACAGCTCCAGGAGTGTTTGGACAGCACTGGGAGTCCATTCCCACTCAGGATATTCCTGGGGGGAAGGTGCTGGATGTTGGAGCCTGAATCAGGGAAGCAAATCCATGAAATCCTGGAGCAAGCAGAGGTTATAACAAGGCAAAGCCAGAGCTGCAGGACACAATTCTCAAACTTCCCCTCTGAAAGCAGCCATGTCATTCTTGCAGTGCTCCAGACCAAAGCCACTGCCAGGAACTCCCTTAAACCCAGCTCAAACCAAACCCTGCTGTGGTGGGGCTGTAATCCTGGGAAAATCCAGCTTGTGTGGATTCAATCCTGCCCACTGCAGATTCCCATCACCCCGAGCCCACACCAGTGCCCAGAGAGCTCCTGCTGAGCCTGGGCACAGCAGGATCTCCTGATTTCCTGCACAGGAGATGGGGCAGAGTCCTGCAGCACAGGGAATTCCTGTTTCTCTAGCTGCACATGGAGCAGCAGGATCACACAGGAGGGGTCTGGGGAACACTGCATGGTCCAGGAGAAAACTCAAGGAGAGGTCAGAGCCCCACTTTGGAAAAACTCCTGCCCCATCCAACCCCTCCTGCCTGCAGCATATGGACAACCCAGAGCAGCTGGAAGCTCCTAATCCCTTGATCCACTTGCTGGGAGCAGGGAATGTCCAGCCAGCTGAGCCTGGCTGCTCCCTGTCCCCAGACCCCAGCCTGGGATGGCTCTGGTGTCCCTGTGGGTGCCAGGCTGCTCCCTGTCCCCAGTCTGGGATGGCTCTGGTGTCTGTGTCCAGGCTGCTCCCTGTCCCCAGTCCCCAGCTCACTCCTGCTGTGCAGTGCTGGGATGCCCCAGGAGCCAATGAAGCTGCCAGGGAAGGGAATGGGACCTGAGAATCCCTGAGCACCAAGGGACCCTGCCTGGAGGAACCACAAGGCTCCCACACAGAGGGATCAGCAGGGCTGTGAACCAGCGAGGAGCTGCTGGCAGAGCCCGAACAAAGAGTCTTGCCCTGACTGCAGCTCCAGGGAACATCCCTGAAATCTGCCAGCTCCATCCCACACTTCCAGCCACATCCGTGCCTGCCAGAGCTACCAAGGATCCCCGGGAGGACAAGGAAGACCCCTAGGAGCTGCTGCTGAGGACTCCATGAGGCTCTTTGGTTCCTGGTGTGGAGATCAGAGAGAGGGGAAGCTGCAAACTGAGGGATGTCTGCCTCCATCCCAAAATATTCCCGAGCTCTGGCAGGTGCCAGGCTGGAGGAAAACCCTGCTGGTCCCCCCCTCTGCAGCAGGACAGGAGCTGTGGCACTTGAGACACACTTATTGGGGACCTGGAGAGGCTTTGGGGTCTTAAGGAGAGTCACACACTGATTGGACACAACCCTGGGATCCTGTCCTGAGTGGAATTACATCCATCGTTTTACAGTTCTGTATCTGCAGTGACATCTCATTGATATCTACATTTATATCAGATATTATTTATAGTTATATAGGTATTTCCAAAACATGGCTCTGTTGTGCTCTGGAGAAGTTTCCCAGCAGAAGACCCTGTTTGGACTGAATTGCTGTGCCTGGTCTGAACAAAGGAGCTCCTGGCTCAGTTCAGATGGAAAACACGAGGTAAAACACAACCTGGATTCACTGAGCAGCAGGGATGCAGCTTCCTGTCAGCACAGATTAGTGGGGCAGTCCTGGGAATATTCAAGGAGCTTGGAGCACCCTGGGATAGTGGAAGGTGCCCTGGGGTGGGACTGGATGGGCTTTAAGGTCCTTCCACCCCACCCATCCCGTGATTTTAGGAAGTGCAGCCCAGCAGGACCCCCCATCCTCCCAGGGGAACCCCTCCTGGATGGGAGGTCCCAGCCCTTACCCTCTCCTGGGGGTGGCCATGGGTGGCTGTGCCTGGGGGGTCAGCAGGCGCTTCCTGAAGGGATCCATCATGGCCTGGGGCAGGCCGGGCCTCAGCGGGGTCGCTGCTCCGTACGGGGGAGCTCCCGGGGGTCCCACCTGCAGCCCTGCCATGGGCATCCTGCCCCCGGGGGGCATCCCAGGGCGCTGCTGGAAAACAGGGACACGGCGGTTATACAGGATCCTGGCCACGGTGCCACCACCCTCGGTGCCACCACCCTCGGTGTGACCTCTTCCCGGGGGTGCCAGGGCAGGGAGCAGGGAATGGCAGCAGGAGCTGCAGCAGCAGGAAGTGATGGGGAAGCAGGAACAGGGGGAGAAGCCGTGGCAGGCAGGGAAGCCTGGCCTGGCAGCTGTGGAGCCAAAGGCAGGCTGGTGGCCCTGTGCCACCACCCCACAGCTGCAGCAGCACGAGGACAGTGCAATGTCCCCACCCAGGGACCTCGTGGGTTCCTCTCTGGAAAGCAGCACAAAAGAGGGGAGAGGGACAATCCCACTTCCTCCCACAGGCAGGAAGGAAGTGAGGGATGGAGGAGGCAGGGGCTCCCCCCGGTCAGCAGCCAGCTCCTGTCCTTCCCCATCCAGGGACACACACAGGGAATTTAGGAGCCACAACACAACCCTGAGGGGTCCCAGCCCTGGCAGCCCCTCTGCACCCTCAGAGCAGATCTGGCAGCACCCACTGGGGCCTCAGGTGTCACCAGGTTGTCCCCCCGGGGACAATCGGTCCCAGCCCCCAGGACCCACCAGCCACCCCTCCTGCTCCTCCCTGCTCCACCTTGGGGCTGATCCAGCAGCTTCCCGGGATCCTTTGATCCTCAGTTCCCCCTGCCAAGGTGGGAGGCTGGGAGAGCCACCGAGCCAGCAGAACAACATTTCTGCACTGCCCCAGGCTCCTGACGTGCCAGGACATCCACAGAGCTCGACAGGACAGGGAGCCAAGGAAACTCCTCATTCCCTGCACACAGGGAGACATCTGGGAGCAAAGCCTAGATGCAAGAGGGGGATGCATCTGGCCTGCCCTCCACAGCTCAGAGCTGTAGCAGGGGTAGGTTTAATGGAGCTGCAGCCTAAAACCCCTAAAAAAACACCCCCACCTCCATGGAAAGCTGATAAACACAAACGCAGGAGTTTGAGCTGCTCCTGGTGCCTCTGCCAGAGGCAGATCCCAAGAGGAGAAGTGTGTTCCAGGCAGATCAGGGCAGCAGCAGGGCCCCAGGATTAGCGCTGCACGTGGAAGCTCCAACCCCCCAGGCCCAGGCTGAGCCCATTACACAACAAACACAGCACACACGGCTCCAGAGCCTTTGAAGCAGCAACCCCAGAGCCGGGCTCTGACCCGCCCTTCCCCAGGGCAGGAGGCTCCTTTTTCCTCCTCCCAGCTCCCAGATGTTCCTCTCCTCCTGCACAGCCCCATTTGCACAACTCCTCGTGACTCTGGCAGCAGGGCCAGCAGCACCTTTTTGTGCCAAAACCACAAGGCCAGGACCCAGTTTCTTTGGGTTTATCAAGAAATCCGTTGTGGCAGGACCGGGCGGACCCACACGCTGTGTAACACAACAAACCACAGTAAATGTTCTGCAGCTCGGCTCCAGCAGGGCTGGGGAACCCCTGTGGAACCCAAACCGGTGCTGACACCTGCCAGGGCTTCTGGAGAGCAGAGAAATCCCCAGAAGGAGCTGGGAAACTTTTAATTTGAAATTCCTGGGCCCCCAGAGCAGCTCAGTGCAGACCCCAGGCTGGAAGCACAGCCTGCATTCCCTGGAGCCACCAGGAGCAGGAAATAGCTCCAAGGGAAACCCTGGGTGTTTGTCAGCGCCTGGAAGGCCAGGGAGGTTCCACAGCTACAGAGACATTCCCTGCCCTGGGAATGCTGTCAGGAGCTTCCTTGGAGCTGACCCAGCCGTGCCCAACTCCTGCCCTTTGGCCAGGGCAGCCCTGAGGTCTCTCCTCCATCTCTCTACCACTCCATGAAGCACATTTCAGATCAGTCCCTGAAGTGAGAGATTTGGAGGCTTCAGAGAATCTTTGACAGCTCCATGTCCTTGGGCAAGGTCTCTTGTGTGTCCAGCTGCTCTTTCCAAGGCTCCATTGAGACAATTCCATCAGCAGGGAGAGGTTCAGCACAAGGATACACAGATTTGTCTCTTTAACTTCACCATCACCTCCCAAACCATCTGAGATCCATCAGCCACAGCTCAGCTGCCTGGGGAGCAACTTCCAGCCCACCAAGCACGCTTGTGGATTTTTAATTGGCTGGATAAGCAATTAGGGGAGTGCAGAACCCTCCACATGGATTTTTCCTCTCAGTTTACTCTCAGGATTTTCAAATTTGCAACAGAGAAGCCTCTTGGCTCAACCAGTCACCAGTGCCTGGGGCAGACTTCCCAAAGGCTCCCAAACCCTTCTCACACAAGCCCAGCCTAAACCTCCAGCCAAGCCAGGAAGCAGCACCACAGCCCCGGGGTGAAGCCTGTCTCCAGCTTTTGGAAAGCCTGGAAATCCCAGGATGCAAAGGGTTTAAACTCTGGAAATGTGATTAAACCAGCTCCAAGCAGGAGCTCATTCCTGCCCAGCACCCCCTGTCCCTTTGCCACTGCCGGCCCGCCCTGTCCCCTCCCCTCAGAGGGGCAGACAAAGGGCAAACCCTGCAAGCTCAGCGCGAGGAATAGCCTGGATCCCATCCAGCCCTCCCTGGAGCCTCTGGAACAGGACAGCACACAGCTCGTGTCTGCTCCCTGCCAGGGACGGGGCAGCTCGGGGTTCAGCCCAGGTCACTGCACAGCCCTGGGGCAGCTCCATGGAATCGGCCCCGGCTGAGTCCAACAGGAGGCTGGAAGGATTCCTGAGGGATGTTTGCTGGATGGCAGGAGCCTCTGAGCCTGCCAAAGGCCTCTTCTTGAGGAAGGGCAGCCCAGAAATCGGGGGCTGGTAGCAGAAAGAAGCAGCAATAAATCCCAGGATGGATCAGCAGGAAGAAGCTGGGCTGGAGAGAGAACTTGAGGCAAAGCAAGAATTCTGCAAAGAGCTCCAGAGCCTCTTCATGTCCCTCCCAGGATCCTGCTCTTCCCTGCAGCTCCCCAGCCAGGGTGGAAGGCTCCTCCCCACACCTGTCCTGTCCTGCTCCAGGATCCAGCTCTGCACACTGACAGGGAGCCAGAGCCCACATCCATCCTCGCCCAGGGCGCTGGAGCAGAGCCTGACCCAGCACCAAGAGCTCTTCCTGCAACTTCCTCCCCTCGTGCCCAGGCAGCAGCACTTCCCATCGGGATACAGAAACAGTCCATGTTCAAACAGGATTCCAGTTCCACATGGCTTGGGCTCCAGGAGAGCTCTGCTGCCCACGGCTTGGAGCGGGCTGCGATCAGATGAGCTCCCCGCACACCCCAAAAGGGCGATTTTCCCCTTTGTTCCTCCTTATCTGTGAGCAAACGCCTCTTGGGAGGGTGCCAGGGAGACCCAGGGTTGGTGCTGGCTCAGCCCTTCAGCTGGGAGGTGCTGCTGGGACGGAGATGCTGCTGCTGCAGCTCCCTGCAAGCCCCCAAATTCCCCCACACTTGGAAAACTTCTGTCTCTGAAACAGGAGGAGCCCCAGGAACCAGATCTCAGCAGTAAAGCCGACATGAGGAAGTGGTAAATCAAAGGCAGAATGGCACAGCACAGGCACAGCCCCCAGCAGATCCAGGACACATCCTGGAATGTCTCCAGCAGCAGCAGAGCTGTCTGGGCTGGACAAACCTGCCTGTCCACAGCCCCACAGTTGGAGCCTTGGATGTTCCAGGCACGGGAAGGTGAGGACACAGCCATTCAGACCCCACAGGGGCAGGAACAGCAGCAGGAACAAGGAACAAAGGTGTTGGCTCCTCCTGGGAGCTGCAGGAGGCTCTGGGGAGGAGCAGAGATAGGCCTGGCCCAAACCCTGCTCATGCTGTTCCTGCAGGGTCAAACTTTCCGGGGACAGCCTGGAGGGCTCCCGGGAAGGGCCCGTGGAAACAGAGGGAGCAGCAGCGCTGGAGGTGTTGTTGTTCCCCCTTCCCTGACACGTTTCCCAGGAGCAGCAGAGCGTGCCTGGGCTCTGCTCTGCCCTCCTCCCCCTGCTCCAAAGGACAGTGTCCATCTGCTTTGGATCAGTGCTGGAAGCAGCTCCGGGCTCCAGCTCTGATGAAACCTGCCTCGGAAAGCCTCTCCCTTGGGAAGGGTGGGGTTATCCAGCACAAGCAGCTTTCTGGAACAGCTCCAGCCTAGGCTGTTCTCCCCTGGTCCCCTCCAAGCCAGTCCCAACCACTCCATGAGCAAAACACTGCTCTCCCTGCTCCCACAGGGCTGGATTTTTCCCGCACTATCCCCTCTCCGGCGTGTCCAGGCCTCCCCAGTTTCACCTGGCACAACATTCCACACTTCAGCTCCTCCATGCCTCCATGGATTTCTCCATGCAGCACGACTTTCCTTCCCACCGCCATCTGCCCAGAGACAGGACCACAGAGCTGCTCCCAGGCTTTGGAGTCCTCGGGCTGCAGCAGCTCAGAGAATCCAGGCTCTGTCTTCCCAACACGTGCCAATAAAATCCATTTAATGGGGACCTAATTCTGCACCAGGGAAGCATCAGCTGGGGGTAACTGCAAGGCTGGAGAGCTGAACTCCAAGGTCTCATCCCACATGCATCCGTGCTGCTCCAGGCCATGGTGTTAACCCCAAAACTCGGGAAAAACTCTCCTAAACCTGAAACCAGCACCTGAAAAAACAGGAAGGCTCCTTCCTGCTGAACTTCCATGGAAGCTGGTGGCTGGGGCTCAGCCTGGGCGTCCTGGCTGCCCCAGGGGCAGGGAGAGGGATCAGGCTAGGGGATCTGCCCACAGCCCCCACCACACCTGATCTTCCTGCTCCTGGAAAAGGGCATTTCCTTCCTGCTCCAGGCATGGCACCGGCGCCTGGCTGCTCCCACCAAAGGAGACCCCTGGATTCCCTGCCTAGGCTGCCAGGAAATCCCCAGCAGGCACACAAGGATGTCCAAAGGACGAGCATATGTTTAATAATCCTGAGATTAGAGCCCCTAAGCCCTCGCTGGCCTGGGCAGGGCCTCTTCTGTCTCCTGGTGCCCAAACAACGCAGCTCTTCCTAAAACTGGGACAGAACCAAGCCCTGGG